GGGTGATTATGCTTAACAATATTAAGTAATATAATAAAAAATATCTAGAAGACAGAATTTCGAATGTTTTCATCACAAAGAAAAAGTGTTTGAGATGATGGATCATCTAAGTATCTTGAGTTGATCAATACACAGTGTTTAAATGTTCCAAAATATCACACTGGACTCCATAAAGATATGTAATTATTATTTGTCAATAAACATTTTTTTAAAAAGTTTGCTAACTCCTGTTTCTGGAGCCAAACTGCTGCTAATGTCTCATTTTGAGACCAAGTTACTCACCTCCTTTGTTCCTCAACCTCATCTGTAAATGAGGCGAAAAATAGAGCCAAACTCTATGTGGTGATTATGATGGTTAAATGAGTTACTATAATAAAGCACTTAGAAATGTGCATTACACTTGATATTTACTAAATATTAGATGTTAGTTGATACTGTTAGATTTAATTGAAAATCACTTTGTAATACAGACTGCAGAAGAGGCATTGAAACAAGTTTAATGGATGGAAAAAGTCTTTGGCAGCAGTATATTTCAAATGTTGGGAGTGGTGCAGGAAATAGGAAAAATTATGAATCCAAAGTAAAGCATAGACAGTAAGTACGGGGGTCAGTTGTTAATTGTGTCAGCTTGATGGGCTTGGGAGCCACCTAGGAGATTTATGGGGCACACTTCTGGATGGGCCATGGAGGCATGACCTTGGGTAATAACATCAGGTCCCTGGCCCCTTCCTGTCTGGTGCTGTTTCCCAGCTTTGCTCCTGGCTGCTGTGGATTAAAGCATCTTTCCTCTGCTACCCTCATCTGCCATGATGTTTTTGCATTGGTGCCAGCAAAACTGAAACTGAGCCAAGTTAAACCTCTCCTTTAAGTTGTGGTTGTCAGGTATTGTGTCTCAGCGATGGGAAAGCTGACTAATAGGTGAGCATGTCTTTACATTGCTGCTGGAGGAAATGAGCATCATGTGAAAGACTGCTAGCCATAGGAGAGAATCGTTCACTTGATTTTTTTGAAATGAAATATAAGATTAAGTTATTTCATGCCTGTGATCATTCTAGTGTGACCATTTGTATGACACAAAGTGGCTTCTTCAAGGTTTATTTTCCCCCCAAGGATTTTTATCAGAAAAAAAAATTTTTTTTTTGGTACCGGCGATCGAACTCGGGACCTTGCTCTTGCAAGGCAGGCACTGGAACCACTGAGCTAAATCTCCTGTCCCTGTCAGAAATGTAGTGGGCATCTTGAATATCTTGGACCTATTTCTCCTAGATGAAGGACCACATTTTTTTATGTTAAGGGTAAACTGTTAGAATTTAAGAAAACTAAATGGTGTTGTAAATGGCTTGGTCTCCCAGCTTGTTCCTCAACTTTTCATTTTTCTCTCTGGAGAGAAAACAAAATGAAATATTTTATAATCGAACTTTTAAAAAAATTGCAGTGGAAAATACTTATAATTTATCATTTTAACCACTATTTATCTTGAAAAAAAAATCGGAACCATTTTAACCCTCAGGAAGTTTCAGACCAAAAAGTTACAGTGGAGATCACATGTATCTGAGAGATAGATTTCATTATTAGCATGTGGTTAAATGTGAAAAAAATTAAAGCACTGCAAATTTACATTTATATTTATATTTACATTTTAAATTTTCATTTATAACCTAAAATTATTAAGAAATACAGCAGTATTCACTGGAGTTTACAGTATCTCATATATAATACATTGTCCAATATTTCATACCCTTAAAAATGTAGATTATAAATAAATTGAGGGCTTTAAGCGTTATAGTTTAAGATTTCAATGTACAAACATTCGTTTATTCTTGATGGTGAACCTGTGTACCCAGTACTGTATATGTAACAATATTTAAGAAGAGTTTGCTTGTATTTCTCAGGTCAGCCTTGGCCTTGGAGGGCTAAGTATATAGTAGTCCCTCTTATCTGTAGTTTCACTTTGCACAGTTTCAGTTAACTGCAGCCAACCGATGTCCAAAAACATTAAATGGAAAATTCCAGACATAAGTTTTAAATAGAGCACTGTTTTGGGTAGATGTCTTCCTGTCCAGGATGTAAATCATGCCTTTGTAGGGCATATCCATACTGTATGTATTACCCACCTGGTTATCAGCTGTTGTGGCAGTATTTCTGTACTTGCATTTAACTAATCTTTACTTTTTACTTAATACTGAAATGTGAAAAGCTCCAGAGTAGTGGTGCTGGCAGTTCAGATATGCCAAAGACATGCATTAAAGTGCTTCCTTTAAGTGAAAAAGTGAAGTTCTTAAGAAAAATCATGTGCTAGGGCCGGGGATTTAGCTCAGTGGTTTCGCTGCCTGCTGCACAAACGCAAGGACCCCAGTTCGATCCCCAGGACCAAAAAAAGAAAAAGAAAAAGAAAAATCATATGCTGAGGTTGCTAAAATCTGCAGGTTATTAATACCATACTGTGCCTAATGTGTACATTAAATTTTTTTTTTTGGTACTGCATCGAACTCAGGACCTTGCGCTTGTGAGGCAGGCACTGTGCCACTGAGCTACATCCTTGGCCCTGTATACATTATTTTTTTTTTGGTACCAGGGATCGAACTCGGGTCCTTGCGCTTGCAGGGCGGGCGGCAGAACCACTGAACTAAATCCCCGGCCCTGTATACATTAATTTTTATCATGCCCATGTGTATGTAGGAAAAAATACACATACAGGGTTTGGTATTCTCTGCAATTTTAGGAATCCACTGAAAGCCTTGGAACATCTGCCCCGTGGATAAGGGAAGACTACTGTGGTGGTAAATATGTTTGCATTATTGCACAACAGACCCAAAATTTCTTCATCTTGCAGAATTGAAACTATTCCCATTAAACAACATTCCTTTTTCCTTCACCACCCCCTACTCTTGCCAGACGCTGGCAGCTACTGCTTTACTTTCTGTTTCTATCAATTTGACTACTTTAAATACCTCATATAAATGGACTCATCAAATAATTGTCCTTTTGTGGCTAGCTTTTTTCACTTACCGTAATGTCCTTAGGGATCACCCATATTGTTAGTATATGATAGAATTTCCTTGTTTTTCAAGGCTGAATAACATTCAGTTGTATGACTATGTAGTTTGTTCATTTATCAGTGAACATTTAGGTTGCTTACACCCAAATATAAATAATGCTGTGAAGTACACATATATGCGTATAGCACCTTGAGATTATGTTTTCAGTTTTTTGGGATGTATATGCAGTCTTGGGATTGCTAGAGCACATGATACAATAATTCTATTTTTAACTTTTTGAGAAACCGCCGTACTGTAGAGACCACACCATTTTACATTCCCACCAGAAATGCACAGGGGTTCCCCCAGTTTGTCTGCATGCCAACATTTTTTTAATGTCTATCTTATTTCTCAGAAAGCTTTTTGGCATTATATTTGATCTGAATATCTGGAGCTCTCTGATAAGCTGTTAACACTTCTGGCTGTACCCTGTGGCATGGAATTGAGAGTTAAGATTTTTTTAAAAATTCTTAAAAATGGAGGAAGATAAGAAACTGCCTTCATGTGGAACTTGATCTATTGCTAAATCACCTATTATTGAGATGAATTTATAGGTCACAAATGTTATTACACTCATGATAAATTTTAGCTTTTTTTCCTCATTATAAATATTTTATAGTAAAGCATAAGTTTACATTTGATGTTGCATTTGTGCATTTTATCTGCATTGCTGCAGGTAGCCCTAGTTTTCACTGCCATATTATATCCATTGAGAGATAGGTTACAATATTCCAATTGAGGTGTCCTCTCATTTTTTGTTAAAGCCTTTGGGCGTGCTAGATTTTCTCTTAATTTTATCCTATAAAAGGTATTGTTGGGTTTTCGGCTGTCTTCTCAGTTTATATTCTAGAGTTCTGGCTCTCTATAATTAATTTAAATTAATTTCTTAATTTTTGTCCATACAGATGAGTGTTGAGGGGTTTATTGTTGTGGGATTTTCTCCATTATTGATGAAGTTGAACATTTTTCTTGTTTTGTTTTTTTTTGGTACCGGGGATCGAACTCTGGTCCTTAGCTTGCGAGGCAGGCGGTGGAACCACTGATTGAGCTAAATCCCCGGCCCCATTTTCCTTGTTTTTATTGGCCATTAAATATTTCCCTTTCTATGTAGGATCTGTCTTTTGCGCTTTTTTATTTGTTTGCCTCTTTGTTATTCTTTTTGAAGGAATTCTTTATATATCTTGTATACATATGCATGTATACAGGTACATATAGTAATAATACATGTTTTAACATATCTTCTGGTTTGTGGCTTGTCTTTTCACTTAATCTGTGCTATTTCTCAGTACAGAAGTTCTTAATTTTAATTCATTAGCCCTTTTAGAATGTGATTTGAGAGTGCTGCTTAAGAAATCATCCATTTCTTAAGATCATAAAAATATTTTTTAACATTTCAAAAATTTTATTTAAGCTTTACTACTGAAATTATAGTCTTTATCCATTTGCCAGTTTAAGAAATTAAAATGTGATAATTCTGTACTTAAAATATATATAGCTCACATGTTTCTTGAATGCCTATTAAGTCTGTGGTGCCAAAAGTTTAGTAAACATTGCCTTAAATAATGAGCGAGTTGCAGTGATGGAAAGCCCCAAAATAAGCGTAGATGATATCTTGCATTAAAGGTGGATATTTTAGAGATTTGTTTAAAAAGTTTTCTTTTTCATAACCTTGGTCTCAATTTTAGGTGATGTGCCTGTCATTCTGTTAACCTTTAACAGTGTTAGCCTGTTAACAGTGGTTATACACCACTGATTTCTGACTGAGCTGGTTTGAATATCTGAGTATTGCTACACAGTAAGTGAATCTCAAAAATCAAGAAGCTAATTATAGCACAATAGAGTTTAAAAATACTGAGTTTTTCTGCTTTAATTTTATTACTTTTTAGGTTTTATAATCTGATATGTGAGCTATAAAAGGAGAGCTACTCAAAGCTTGTGATGCTGTTGCTGCAGGTCTGTATCTTGTGCTTCCAGTGCTGTGATAATATATAATAATAAATATAGTTATTTAATGAGGGCCTTGTTTGTCCATCAGTATTTACACCAGCTGCTCTGGCACCTTCCATCTCTGTGTCCACTCTTGCTGGTATCCTAGGAAAAAAAGGAAAGCCAGCCTTTTTGTGTAAGCATTTTAGACCTATAGATAGACTTTTATGTCATGATAAAACATAATCAGCTTTTATTACTCAAGGACTGTTAATGTGCCTCAGCATTAATTTGAAGATCATATTCAAGATAAAATAATATAATTTAAAATGAAAAGAGTCATTTTGGAAATACTTATACTTAATAAATGATTATTATAGAATATAACTTTTTAAGCCAATAGCTACCTGTCAGAAAACTTCAAAATAGAGGTTTTAATTTAAATTAGGTGGTTAAATGAGACATAAAAATATATTTTAATACATGAATAAACAATTACCTTTAAATTATTTGTCTTGTATGTTTTATTTCAGAGAACCTGCTTTCCCATTAGCTTCTGCTCATTGCTAGTCTTTTTACCCCTTTGGTACCAGGAATTGAACTCAGGACCTTATGGTTGCCAGGCAGGCATGGCACTACTGAGCTAAATGCCCGGCTCAGTTGCTAATTAGTTCTGAATGTCTCTGAAAAATTTTTGTTTGAAAATGTAGTATTTATATCTAATTTAATAAGATCTAAAAGCAAGTAATAAACTCACTTGTTTTTCTGTTTTGGTATATAATCTATAAAATTGAAAAATAGGTGAGGCCTAACTAGTTGCTAGTTTTTTTGAGGTTTGATTTTAGGGGATCCCTGAAGCCCTGTAAAGCCAGATCATTTACAATTTTCTTGTAATATTAGTGAATCAGAACTACAGGGAAGGTCAGTGATCCTTTTTGATCCGATGCTAATGTCATTGCTCCTGAAATCAGCTGAGAGTCCAAGGTAGTAATGCAAGTGGAGTAGAGAACAAGTTTAAACAGTCACCCAACAGTGTGTCTATGCATTTTTTTACCCCCTTTGGAAGAACGAAACTGTTAACCGCACACCTCTCTGTTGCCTGGAAACGTCAAGGGATAACCACGGACAGAGTTTATGGCTCTGAACCACATTACATAAAATAAATGGGCAACTTTTGTAATTTGAGTGGAAAAACAAGTATTATTCATCTGATTCTGGTTTCCAGTATGTAATGTTCACTTATATTTTCATTTTGGAAAAAAAATATTTTTAGTCTTTTCAATGTTCAGTGTTTTTGAAAAAGAAATTTTATACTTCATCTATAAATCCTCACATTTCAAGTGTGTTTCTTGGTACTCAGTTATGCACCATTCTCAGCAATGTAACAGTAGGGAGAGCAAGTTTATTTAAGACTGTTTGAAGCATTCATAATCTTTGACTGTTTTTTTTGTAGAGGCAAATACTATAGACCATTCAATATTAAGTATCTTTTTCCATTTAGGGGCCATTAACATTTTTATTCAGTTTGTCTAACACTGATTAATGTTGGGTTTTTCTCTTTCTGTCCACTTAATTGTTGTAATCAATCATTTTTACCTTAATATGGACTATAGTGAATTAGGATGGAAATCTGACTTATTTTTCATTGACACTTTCTATTTGAAAATGACATTTTGGTAATGTGCTGTACAACATGTGGTGAAGTAGGCATATAACCTCCCTTAATATCGTACCAAGATGGAAATCAGCGTCACACAGAATTTTTCTTTTTGGTACTGGGGATCCAACTCAGGACCTTGCGCTTGCAAAGCAGGTGCGGTGCTGCTGAGCTAAATCCCCCCGGCCCACACAGAATTTTTATAAATTCTCCAACTGGTATAAATGTTTATAAGTAGTATCAGACTCTGTATGTGTGTGCACGTGCATGCCCCAGCCATATGCATGCATGTTTGAGGGTAGCCATTTTGCTCAGGATTAGTCAGAGCACTTTTTATTTTTTATAGTGTATGTTAGATATTTTTAAACTATAAATTAAACAACTAAGAATTTAAAATTTAACTTCACAAATCTATTTTAATAATTTTTATTTTTTATAGTTTAAAATCCCTTAGTGCAGGGACCTGAGTTCGATCCCCGGTACCAAAAAAAAAAAAAATCCCTTTAAATCACATTTATACATTGAGCAGTCATTTTTAAGTGGTTAAATTATCAGACAGATCTTTCCAAATACTTATCTCTTCTAGACTTGGTATTGGTAGATTTTATAAAATTCAAAATCTATTTTTCAACTTAAAGTCTTAAGCCTAAACCAGAAATTTAGTAACATTTTAAATTGAAATTAGGAGTTTAATTTTTTATACATATTAATTTATAAGGTTTTTTAACCCAATTACTTCAAAAACTAAATAATCTCCTATGTCCATACTCAATACAAAAATATTAATCTGTAGGCTTGAATTTACTTTTTTCCCTACTGTTTCCAACCTATACTCTTTACTTCTCGACTAACTAATTTCTTTTTTTTTTGGTACTGGGTATCGAACTCAAGACCTTGCCCTTGCGAGGCAGGCGGCGGAACCACTGAGCTAAATCCCCAGCCCTCAAATAACTAATTTTAAACAAACCTTTTATCATATCTGTATTCTAAACCAAACTGGGTCATCGAGATGTTTTCAGTTTTGCCATTTCAAGTGAATTGATTTTCCCCTTTCCAAACCAGTTTAGCATCATGTTTTCAGATGGCTGAGGGTGAATCTTTAAAAAAATGCGGGTTTTGAAGCCAAAGACTTCCAGGGTGGTTTTCTCATAAAAGAGGGGCTAAGTTGAGCTCGGTTTAATACTCTGCCAACAGTGACATTGGGGCTGTGCCTCCAATGGGGTGGTCTCCAAGCGTGGCACCTGCTGCTCAGGTTCCACAGTACTTAATCCTGAAGTGTGATAGGGCTGCAGTCTCCACACCCGGGATGCTTTACTTACTTTAATTAATCCATTTATTACCTGATTCTGTTCTGAATTCTTTTATTTTTAATTGACAGACTAATTTTTGAGTATTTCAAGCATTTAAATGTTTTAAAGTAAATTCTACTTGCATTTTGCTTATCTTCTCTGTCTTACCTGGTTTTGTAGTCACAGTTCTAAGGTTACTGACCTGACAGTTTTAAGCTCCGGTTTTCTGGAACACAATGTTTGTATCCTAAAAAAAGTTACACAGAGCACATAAACAGGGATTATATTGGATCCCAAACCTGATTTATTCACATATAGAGTGATAATGACACCTTAGCTAGCTCTCTAGTTATTTTATAAGCTTTTTGCTAATGGACTGTGTATCATTATTCTCTAACGGAAATGTAACGTGAGCCACATAGGTAATTTAAAATTCTCTAGTAGCCATAGTAAAGAAAACAGATGAAATTAATTTCAGTATTTTATTTAAGCACGTATAAATGCTATTTCAACACATTCAATGTAAGAATTGAGTTATTTTATATTTTTTTCATACTGAGTCTTTGAAATCCATCATTCTTTTATTTTCTCTGCACATGTCAATTCAAACCAAACCATGTTTCCATTGCTCATTGCTACAGCAGCCAATGGCTTCTGTATTGAGCACTACAGACTCACATCTTTGTAATTTAACAGTGGTAACATAATTTCTTTGTACATAAATGTGTTTATTATTTTAGATGCACATTTTTTATGAATTAGATATAAAACAGTCTAAAATGCATATCATTATTTTCTCTTAAAGGCCCTTCCTTCTTCCATGATTATAGTAGCAGTTTATTGTCCTGTGGTAGCTGCTGTTTTCATTGTTCTGAAGATGGTCAACTATCGACTACACAGAGCACTTGATGCTGGAGAAGTCGTAGATAGGAGCACAAATGAATTTACAGATCAGCGAGCCAAAGCTGAACAAGGCAACTGTTCAACCAGGAGAAAAGACAGCAATGGACCAAGGTAAGGAAAGCTCTGTCACTCATTTTGTAACAATATAGATTGTGGTGTGTGTATAAAGGTATGATTATTGGGTTGTACCTATTCTCTTTATATCATTTTAAGACAACATTAGATCTTAGGACCATAGGTACAATGACAAGTACAGATTTATAATATTAGAACAGAGCAAAGCTAACTGTCATGCTTCGGGGAGTAAGTTGATATCCTTGGCCTCGTTATTAAACAAGTTAGAACAATATGCTATTGTATAATAGTTACACAAAAAACCAAAACCTAGCCTAAAGAAATAATTAAGTATGGCTTATAAATCTCAGCATTTAAAAAATTTACACATATAAAGTGTATGTATACCTGAAGCAAATTGTGATATATTCTTGTCGTGGTTTGCATTTTTCATTTAATCTATTGTAAATATCTTTCAATTTTATATTCTTACCTTAAAAATGTAGCTGTTCCTTTCCTCAGGCTTCATAAGACTGACGTCAGGATTTAGTCTGGGTAGACGTCACTTCCTCCTGGAGGCTTTTCCTTCCTTGTCCAGCTGAAATATCGTCCTTGTTGCTTAGTTACATTGTGAAATATTGCCTTGGTTCTACCAACTTTCTGTCTTTGACAGAAGGATCTATTTTATTTAGAAGTTTCTTGTGATTTTACAGAAAGAATAGTAGATACCACTAATGTAACTTTTTCTTTTCATTTTTTGTAGTACTGCATACATTGAATTAAGAATTGTCACACATCCCATCTACATCCCCAGCCCTTTTAAAATTTTATTTTATTTAAAAAATTTTGAAGTTCTTACGGTATTGCTAAGTTACCCAGGCTGGACTCGAGCTTGGGATCCTCCTGGCTTAGCCTGCCAGACTGGTGGAACTATGGGGACTAATATAATTCTTTTTTTTTTTTTTTTTTGGTACTGCGGATCGAACTTGAGTCCTTGCACTTGTGCAGCAGGAGGCGAAACCACTGAGCTAAATTCCCGGCCCCAACTAATGTAATTCTTAAAACAAGTTCTGGTGTGAACATTTGACATAGGCAAGTTTATTTGGTCTTCAGAACAATTCTGTGAGATAGGTGTTATTATTATTCCTGATTTACAATTGTGGAAACCAAAGTGAGATCAAATAATCCAAGCACTCAGATATATGCTTTTAGCACCTGTGCTATGTTTCCACTCACATAGAACAAACTCCTTCAGATATTAAGGTATAAATGCTGTAACGCAAAGTGGGTATATCTCTATGAAGACATGTAATATTTCTATGTATTTCCCAGTGCATTGAAAGTCTTTGTTTATCATTTTTAATTGCATTTTTCTTCTCTTGTGATTACCCTATTATTTGCTGAACACATATTTTACTCAAAATAATTTCATTCATTGTATTAATCACTACCTAAAATTATCTTACTTAATCATCTGGTTGCATTCATAAGCTTCTTGAAGTCAGGGACCTTACTTTTCTTATAAACTATTATATTACCAGGTCTTAAATCACTCTCTGACACTGATAGTGACTCAGTAAACAGTTGAAGCAGGGAAAACAATTTTTCTGTGATATTATTATTATATTATTATTTTTATTAATTTGTACTGGGGATCGAACTCAGGACCTTGTGCTTGCGAGGCAGGCATCAGCACCACTGAGCTAAATCCCCAGCCCTATGATATTATTTTTATTGATGTATAGTATTAGACTGTATGTCATAATTGTAGATATCACATTTTTAGTTATTTCAGTTATTTTCAAATTCAGATTTCAGTATTAGATCAGTGTGATGATTAAATTTCAAATGATTAAATGTTTTACCATAATTTTTCAGGAGGTATAATTACTGAAATAGCTACTTATATTTCTGAGTTTTCTGATATATATTGTTAGCTTTCAAAGATTTTTCCATTTAACTACTGTGACCAGCTGTTTGAGGGCCTCATTTTTGTACTTTGGGCAGTACTGAGAAGTATTGGTAGTTTTTTTAGCTGTTGATTTGGAGAAGATACGTATTTGTGAAGAATATTAACTGTCTTCTGTGTCAAATACTTTAACTCAGTGTATGGCATTTTGTCTGTGTATATGCCACAGTTTATTTTATATGGTCTATTTTATATTTGTTATTTCTGCCTTTGATAAGATCAAGTTTGTAAGATCTTCCCTTCCTCCATATTACATAGTCACTTGTATCTACTTCATTATTTTTATCATTTTATTTTTTATTTTATAAATTATAGTCAGTGTGAAAATATTCAAACTTAATTTTGGTTTGTCCCATTCCTTATATAATAAATTCATTAAAGAGTGCATTTTTCCCCCAGTAATTTTAAATACCTTTTTTCATGTAACATACTTACGCAGAGTGATCCCTTGGTATCTGCTGGGCATTGGCTCCATGTGCCTTTGAACACCACAGTCCATAGATGCTTAAGTCCTTTATATATAAAATAATGTAGTATTTTTATAGAACCTATTGCTAATCCTCACATATACTTTAAAATCATCTCTGGATTACTTACAATACCTTACACCATATAAATGCTGTGTAAATATTTGTCACACTATATTATTTAGGGAATAATGATCACCAACACCTTTATACGTGTTTAGTAGACACATTTTTTTCCTCCCTGAATTAGCTTTGATCCGTAGTTGGTTATTCTGTGAATATAGAACCTGTGGATATGGAAGGTCAGCTGTGGTGTATTTCCAATGTCTCTTTTCTGTTGGCTGATCTAGTTGTCTGTGCCTCTCTTTACCACACTGTTCTGATGACTGTAGCTTTCTGGCATGGCTCTCGATGGCTGTGGGGAAACCTCATACCTTGTTCTTTTTGACTCTTTGCTCTCTGATATAAACTTTATAGAGTCTACCAGGATAAGTCTGCAAGCACATGGTATTTTTATTGGAATTGTTTTGAAAATATGTATAGATTTCTCTGCAGAGCATATCTTTACAATAGTGAATCTCCATTTATTTTGTCTTTAAAAATTCCTTTAAGTAAAATTTTGCAATTTTCTCCATTAAAAGGAATATTATTCTATAGCTTTTCTTTTATTTAAAAAATTTAAATTATGTCTAATTTTTCTTTAAATTCAGCAGTTTACTTTGTATACAACGACCTTATTAAAAACTTCCATATTAATTTACTTCGTGGTTATGACTTGATTATCCGTAATGACAAATTTTCTTTTTCTCTAGTTTTGTACTTGTCTTCATTGGCAGTGGCTTCTAGCACAAGGTTAAATTGAAATAGTATGCATGTATATCCTTACCTTTCTTTCTAATCTTAAAGATAAGCTTCTCTATTAAGGTAAGATCTTTGTTCTAGGTATTTGTGTATTTGTTTTTTTGAGATAGAGTCTCAATATATAGTTCAGGCTGGCCTTGAACTCATTATGCGTCTCAGTGTTGTAGTGATCTTCCTGCCTTAGCCTCCTAGAATGATCTTGTTGCCTCAGCCTCCCCAAGTGCTGGGATTACAGGAGTGCCACGCTACCATGCCTTGCAAGGTTTTTGTTTTTGGTATCTCTTTTTCCTTGCCCTCACACTTGTGAATCTTGATTTATGTTCTGTGGAAAAGAAAAGGAAAATGCTGTCTTGTTTTATACAGAGTGCCTGTGGTTGGTGCATCAGAGCTATCAGTTGGTTGCACAAATGAGTGAATATAGCAGAACTTATTGAGCCTTTAATTTTCTTTGGCCTCTCTTATGTGGCACAGCCATTGAAAAGTGCTTAAATATTTATCTTAGAGAAAGTCATTAATGTTTTTATTACATTTTTAACATTTGAGGAGAGGAAGTTAGCACATTGAATTTAATGATTTGAATACAAATATTTTGGAGACCATGTTTTCTATTTCTCATGGCAGTAATGCTTATAATGTAAGCTAAAGATCCATTTAAACTATATGAAGTTGAGTTTTAGGCTGTTTCCTGAAGGAGTTTTATTCTGTTTAGGGATTTTGTTTTATGTATTCATATTTTTATGAGCATCATTATAATCTAGATTAGATTTGTAAACTTAGTACTATAATGGTGCTATGAAGTTGACCATGCTGGTCAAAGCCAAAGCATGAGCAGTTAATATGATTCTAATAATAATCAAAACCTAGTTTTGTGAAGTCTCCTCTGTAACTCAGAATAGACCCCTTCTGCTTTTCTGCCTTTCCCTGTACCTGGTTTTTTTTTTTTTAACAGATGGGGAAATTAAGGCATAAAGGTAGAGATTCCCTGAATTTGGTGTATTGCTTACTGCAGTAGACCACTTTGCTTCTGTGAGAATTGTAAACTACTATACTTTCCAGGTATGTGCTGAAATCTCCATTGCTAAAACCCTACAAGTCTTGCTAATAAAGGAAAACTCTTACTCAGCCACTTTATATGTTTAGTTATTTTTAGAACATGTGTAGCCTGCCTAAAAGTTCTACTTGTGAATTTGTAGAGAGGAGTGGAGTATAGAAAGTTTGCTACATGATTTTTATAATGAAAGAGCCATCCCTCTGTTTTGTTCTATGTTTTGGGTTCTTCCTTTTTTCCCCACTCAGTGTTGAACATTGACCAGTATTAGTATTAGATCATTGTTTCTCACCTGGGAATGATTCCACTCCACCCTGCAGGACATCTGGCAATGACTGAAGACATTTTTAGTTGTCACAGCTGGAGGATATTTCTGACATCTAGGGAGTAAGAGCTAGGGATGCTGCTAGCCATCCTACAATGCACTGGACAGTCTTCTGCAGTCAAGAGTTATGTGGTCCCCAATGTCAGTAGGGCAGAAGTTAGGAAACCTTGTTCTAGATAATGATGTTTACTCTTCAGTTTTGAAGTAGAAGAGAAATTTGCAGTGCCTTTTTATTGAAAGGTGATACAGTTTCTTAGAAAGAGCATGGGCTTTAGAATTTTACAGACCTGGTATTCAAACCTTGTCTTGCTTCACCCTGGTTATGAGTACCTATATTCAAGTATGTGAAAAAACAAAAAACAGCACATTGTAGAGTGCTGGGTATTATTTGTATTCTTACCTCCCACTTGAACTCCATATGCCAGTGACAGTTTGTTATTCTCCTCTCCGAGACTTTAGGTAAGACTTTAGCTCTTCTAGTTTTCAGTTTTTTTCATCTGTTAAATGAGGGTAGTTATATTTATATCATATTTTTTAGGGAAGATTTCATCAGAAAGTATAAAAAAGCACATTCTCCTGTGAGTGGGGTATAATAAGTACTTAGTAGAAAATTGGTTTGTTTATTATTAATAACTTAACATTTAAGATTATCTTTTTTTTTTTTTGATACTGTACCGGGGACCAAACTCAGGACTTCATGCTTGCTAGGCAGGCGCTGTGCCACTGAGCTAAATCCACGGTCCTTATATTTAGATTGTAATCACTTGGATTTGCTATTAGACATGATGTGTAAGTGGACAAGATTGTCTTGCCTATGGCTAGATAAATAAAATGTAGTCTTTCTGCATGTGGTAAAATATTATTTGGCCATATAAAGGAAGGAAGTGCTGATACATGCTGTAACATGGCTGAACTTAGAAAATTTTATGCTGAGGGAAAGAAGCCAGTCACAAAAGATTACATAAAGTACTATATAATTATATTGATATGAAACATCCAGAATGGGCAAATTTAGGGACAGAAAGATTAGTAGTTGCTTAGTGCTGGTGAGAATGGAAAAGGTAAAGGAAAATAGCTAAAAGGGTTTAGTTTTTGGTATGATAAAAATGTTCTAAACTTTCATAACTTTCATAAAGTTTCATGACTTTACAGATAAAATAAAAACCACTGAATTATACAGTTTAAATGGGCAAATTGTATGGTATGCGAATTATATACCAATAAAGCTGATATTTACAAATGGTGAAGATGAGGGCTCTATCCTTTCTGTGATATTGAATGTTTTATTCCTTAATCTTCACTTTGCCTTCCATCTTCTGGTTTCTGTGAGTCTAATTTAGAGCAAGCATTCCAGTAGAGATAGATGACAGTAACATTGCTGGCTGTTTCTCATCATCAACTGACTGTAGTGATTGTTGCCCCTGTGTACACCATTAAGATTTGTCCATTTCAGAAGAATTTTTCAGTGTAGCCTATACAGCTGGTATAAATTAATACTGAACAGCTAACAAACTTAAGTATGTTCCATTTTTTTTACACATTTTTGCTCATTTATGCCCTGAATTGGCCATTAAAGTTGTAACCAAGTTCCAAAATATTTTGTTTTTGTAGCTAGATAGCAAATTAGAAAGCTAGTTTTCCTTGTTGGACATTAGCTAACTGTAGTCAGTGGCCTAGAGTTAGGAATTACTAATAATGAGGAATATTACAGTTTTGAGATCTTTAATAATAATAAAAATACTATACTATGGTAATAAATACTTAAATGAAAAATATGCTTGCAATCAGACTCTCTTTTGCTTATATTTGATTGCAGCGTAGTACCCCACCCAAAAAACCTTGAGAAATTTATGGCTCCTGTTAGTGAAAAGGCTTTATGTGAAAGATGTTTTCTGGTATGTCAGGGTGAAGAGTTTCAGACAGTCACTTCATGACACTGCTTCCCTTCTTTTAGCCAGGCTCTCCTTTTTTATGTTAGCATTTTATACAGACTCTGCTTCGTGGTTATAAGATGATACAGAAGCTCCAGGCTTTAAGTCTCAGCGTGAAGAGTACCGATACAAAGAAATTTCCTCTCTCAACAGTAGAACCCCTCCTGATTGGCTTTGGCCTATCTCCAAACCTGAGGGGGTAGACTCAGTGTTACTCAGAATTTTGGGGTACTTTTTCTGTTAACTAGGTTGAATTAGATGCTGCATGTCAAGGGATTTTATATCTGGTATTATAATGTTTAGCCTGTATACTAGAACTTTTGTCCTGATAGTAAGCTAAAATATTTACTGAGGGGTTACTCTCTTTATAACAAGTAGAATGAGTAAAATATTTTGGGTCAAAAAATAGAATTATGAGTTATTCTAAGAGTTGTGTTCCCAAGGAAACTTGCTATATAACGTTTTCTAAGATTTTTAAAATTTGGTATGAATTTTTTTAAACTCTGAGTTCCCGTTGGTGCTAAGTACTCTACATGGGCTTCTTCAGCTCTTTGACAGTAGTACTTTTTTCCCTTTTGATTTTCTAATACCTGTTGTTACTGCTTTAAACTTAGGCTTTCTAAATTCAACATACACAAGAATAAAATCTTAGATTTCCAGTTTTGTAAAACAGTATCACATAAATTGTTACTTAAAAAATACAGATACAAATAAATAGTTTAACTGGGATGACTGTTCTTTTGCCCATCACTGCGTCATGCAGCTTAGACTTCTGTCTTGGAGACATCAGTTAATGATGTCTGATTACTTTCTTTGTTTATAATTGACCAAGTTCTTTTTGCTCTTGGGAAACAAAAGGCAGTTGTTTCTTTGCTAGAGTGGTTTTATGGCACATATCATAAAATATTTAGTATGCTCTACTTGTAATTAAAGGTAGTTTCTAATATAGGATTGGGTACAAACAGTTTAGGATGAGAGAGTTTTAAATATTTTCAAGTAGTGATGTTATTAAATAGTTCCAGTTTTTAGACTCATAAATCATGAATAAGTCTACTTTTTTCTCTTAAAAACCAGAACCTCAGTATTACAGAAAAAGATAGCTTAAAAAATGATAAGGGAATGAAAAGAAAATTATTGGTGCCAGAATAGTGACAATTAATTCTTTTTTTCTCATGTTTCTCACACAGTGATCCTGGTGGAGGAATTGAAATGTCTGAGTTCATTCGAGAGAGTACACCTCCAGTTGGTTGCAGCTCAAGAAATTCTTACGCTGGCCTAGATCCAAGCAATCAGGTAGTGACTTCTGCTGTTTTAATTTGCCTTTTCCCCTCCTCCTGATGGTAGTCTCAGTCATTAGTCTTATGTCTGTAACAGTAAGTTGGATATTTATCTTTGATTATTTTTTGACTGTTTATTAATACTATCTTTATTAATCTTGCGTTTAACTGACTTTACATTAGTAAATACGTATTTGCTGAGCACATACCACATGTTTACTGCCTGAGTGTGTAGTTTGATCAAGATGTTTATGTTGAATCCCTTAGTATCTTTCCATCATCTGTATTGGAAAAGTTTAGATGTCTGTTGTTATTATTATTAGTTTAAACATGACAGGAAAAAAAAAATAACTTACCCAGTTGACATGTTAATGGTAGAACTAGAAGTAGAATGCAAATCTGCTTTTGCCAATTCTAATATCTTCTTGCTTTGTAACTTTTTATTTAGAACAGTAACTCTGAAAGTGCTTTTTCAACACTCAGCTGTAGCCTATTGTACTCTTACTTGGTCTAACCTCGGTTGTGCTGTACAGTTTTCTCACTCACTCTAAACATTTCCTAGGCTAAGCCAGGTCCCTGTCTTTCATGCTTGCCTTATGAATAGGTGACTTCACTAGGTAGAGTACAGTAAATTTACCTTTTGGGAGAAATTTCTCATTGTAGAACTTCATGTAACTGTGGGGTTTAGTGCTTGTTGTGTCAGCCCTTCCATTATGTGGGAGAAACTTGCTTGCTGATTGTCTCACCATTTCTGTTGTTACATACACAGCTTATGGGTTGAAACCACTCTTCTTCCTTCTATTCTGTTCTGGAGGGAGGCTTAGTTCTTGTCTTCTGTCCTATCTCTAACTCTACTTATTCCACCCTGTTTCTAAAGCTTTTCAAAGACCTTATGGTGTTGCCCCCCGCCCCCCGTCTCTCTCTCTCTCTCTCTCTCTTTGTTTTTTGAGACAGGGTCTTGCTTTTTAGTTCAGGCTGGCTTTAAACTCATAGCAATCGTCCTGCCTCAGCCTTCCAAGTGCTGGGATTCCGGGTGTGCGCCACTATGCCCAGCTTTGACTCTTTCTCTTGCAGATAGAACACTTAATAATTTATTGTAGCAGTTCATTTTTGGTGTGTGATGGTATGTGGCAGTTTATAAGTCTCTACAGACTATTTTCTTCTTGCTTTCTGCAGTTTAATATACTGTCTTGGACACAGTTGGCTTTCAATTAATGATTTCTAATTATCTTTATGTGAATAGATAATAAACCTTTAGAAGTAAAGTTGGCGTAAGGTCCTGAGTTCGATTTCTGGTACCAAAAAAATAAAAAAGTAAAGTTGGAATTGGCTCCTCATTTAACAAAATAGATAGCAGACCTAGTTCTCCTGACTATCTCATAGTTTTCAATTATTTTACATTGGTAAGAATATTATGAAAAATAGCATATTCTATGAATCAAATCTTGAACAGGGTCTTATTTCCTAATGTATTTTGATAGAAGATTTGCTTCTATTTGAATTGTATTGTCATGATTTAAAGTTTAAGTGAGTGAATTTTTGGTAATAGTTCTAGTTGTGGTCAAGTATAGTTTAACAAGTGGGTCCTTGAATTTGTCTTCTTTCCCTAACCAATGAAATGGGAGATATTGGTATTAAAAAAAAAAAAAGAAAAAAATAGTTTTTGAAAATGCTATACTATATGTATTAGGTTGGTACTTTTTAAGTTTCACATTTTATAGTACTTGTTTGAAGAAAAGTGTTACTATCCCTAAGCCTGCTTTTTGATGCCTTAATGGTTTTCTGTCTCTTTTTATTTATCTACACGTTTATGGTACATAATGATTGCATTTATCAGGTGAAGTTGGTACATGTACACAACACATCTTAATTCTTTTTTTATCCCTCCGTCTCTTTCTATAAAATAAAATGATTTAATCCTTAAATATGGCTACATGTTTTGTTTCTTAATTAATCTTGGCTTTTATTCTTATTGATAAATATAGGCAATGTCACATTACCTTGGGGAGGTACACTACATTTTTCCAATAATATTGTAGAGAGCCACAGCTTTTCTTTATTTTTGTAGTAGGGAGGTGAAAGAGCATGGCGGTGGCCAGGACCTTTGCTATTATTAGTCTTTGTCATCATTTTGATTTGAACTTCTCTTAACTAGGGATGGAGTCCTTTTCACACAAACACACAGAATACCCAATTAGGTTTTTCTTAAAATAGTGACTCTTATAGTGGGAAATTGGGAAGCTATTGTGTTCTTTAGGTTTAAGTGTTCTCATTTTTATACCATTTACAATCAATATTGTTTATATGAATGACGTTGTTGGAGAAGTTAAAGTGAAGTAGAATCAGGTATTACCAATATAGTCATACTGTTTTTGGTACATATTCTATTCTTAGTTGCTTGTGTAAATGATGTAAATAATGAACTTCTTGGACCTAATGGCTGTATCTTAGTCCTTGTTATCATTCAGTTCCTCTTGGTACCTCTAACCTGATTCTTTCAGCCTCTCACCTTTAATTCTTTTGTCTTTTTTGGGAGAGTTTGAAACAACAGTGTTAGTTTATTATCTCTAATAGTTGTCTTTCTTTTTTAATCTGTTTTTCTCTCCCTTCCTTCTCTTTCCTTTTGTCACTTATCTTCTCTCAAACATTCTAGTCCCTGATAGTGTTCAAGGCACTTTAATGGTCTGGGGTAAAGACTGCAACCTGTGACATAACTAACCAAGTTATAAATTGATGTGTGTTACCAAGGTCCTTTTACAAAGTGATAATTACCATTGGAATGGTACAGAAAAAGGGCTGACTTCAGAGGAATACTAATTTCAGATAGAGAGAAAGGCAATGCTTTGTGGGAGGGTTGACTTTGCCTGATATACTTTCTAGTTGACAGTAGCCTTTCTTGTGACATCTCACATTCTTAGTCCTTCCTGGACCTATCCAATGACATTCACCACAGGAAAGAAACACTGGAATGTTTTAATTTATGCAAGGCACTTAATATGCCTCCAAGTATAGGGAGATACCATTTTCTTCTTTTTTCCTTTTTATTCTTAGAAAATTTAACAAATAAAAAGAAGAAAATTAACATAATTCATGACATAAATAATAAAAATCATTTTTCCTTTTTTTTTTTTTCTTTTTCTTGATACTAAGGATTGAACCCAAGGCCTTTGCACTGACCTATACTCTCAGCCCTTTTGAGACAGGGTCTTGCTACATCACTAAATTGCCTCATCCTCCCAAAGTGCTGGAATTACAGGCATGCGCCATTATGCCTGGCTAATAAAATCTTTTTAAAACAAAATGGAGGGCTGGGGATTTAGCTCAGTGGTGCCGCTGCCTGCCCCGCAAGTGCAAGGTCCTGAGTTTGATTCCCGGTACCAACAAAACAAAACAAACCAAAATGGAGTTACAGTGTAGTGCTCTCCTTCGGAACTCAATTCTTTTAACTGATTGTATTGTGGATATTAATGTTGTTGAATGATTTTCTACCGTGACACTTTGGGGATGGCATTGCATTTGGATGTACTGTATGTAGTTTGTATTCTTGATCCCCTGTTGTCTGTCATAAATAGGATATTTTGGTATTTTGGGACGAATCATAAATAATACAGAGGGCCGGGGATTTAGCTCAGTGGTTCTGGCACCTGCCTCGCAAGCGCAAGGTCCCGAGTTCGATCCCTGGTACCAAAAATAAATAAATGAATGAATAAATAAATAAATAATACAGAAAGGTATGAAGAATAAAATATAATCACCCATGTTATCTGTTAAGAATGCCTTTGCTAGCAAGTAATAGAGTATTCAACAACGGTGACTTTGAAGAATAGAAGTTTGTGTTTGTCACCAAAATCTGGAGCTTATTTTGTATTGGCTACACCAAAGGTTTATTACTAGTTTCACTCATATTTGTGTGTTTATTTTTATTTACTTTTCACTGACATCTAACTTACACACTATAATACACATCTTGAGTGTACATCTCAGTGAATTTACCCCTGAAGTGGACATCCTCTCTTTGTTTCCTTAAAGGCAACATTAATCTTTATTCTGAGCATATTTATTGTGATATACTCCTCTTGAATTCAATCAATGAAAGGGAAAACAGTAAAATACATAAATATATGATGTTTTACATTTTATGATGCTAAATTTGCATTTAGCAACTATTTCCTTGTTCTTTGAGCCTCATGAAAACAAGTTGTAGAAAGAGTTGCTGGGACTACTTCATGTAATTAACTATCATGTTGTTATATTTGGATTCCTTATTGTGTTCATGGAATTTGTGGTACTTGTTTATATGATTTTTATGGAAGTATAATAAATAATGGCTGTGAAAATTTAGGAAAGTGTTATACCATCTTGAATATAAACATTAAAGTTAAGTGGTCTGATTTCAGTTTTCTAATTATAGTTTATGCTTAAAAATGGAACTTTGTGGATGCCTTCAATTTTTAAACATGTTCTAACCATCTACAAAGAAGTACTGACTTGTCGGGAACTAAGGATGCTACATATTGTTACACTAACAATTTGACAGTAAGATTTATATTGTTTCTCTGTAGCATGTTAATATATTTTGCCTCCATCATCCCCAAACCTTCCCTTTATATACCCTACAAAGGGCCGGGGATTTAGCTCAGTGGTTCCAGCGCCTGCCTCACAAGCGCAAGGTCCCGAGTTCAATGCCCGGTACCAAAAAAAACCCAACATACATATATGCCCTACAAAGTCTATTCAGATAGACTCAGTGTCTGGTTTTGCTTTTGTTTATAACATGAACATGCCATGATGCAATATAAAAAATGATAATGACTGTATGACATGAATTGGTTGGGCCGGAGATTTAGCTTAGTGGTTCCACCACATGCCTCGAAACCGCAAGGTCCCGAGTTCAATCCCCAGTACCAAAAAAAAAAAAAAGACATGAATTTTTTGAGGTGAGACCATCAGGCCCTGGGGGCTCCATCAGTCTTGAGCGTTTGGAGAGACTGAGAATCTCAGCACATCTGTAAGATAGTGCAAACTGTGCCTGCAGCAAGCAGGTTGTGTGGCTCTGACAGAACATGCCCAACAGGTATCTTTTAATATTGATAAAAGTGATTGATAGCATGTTGAGATAAATTGATAATTTTATTTTATAATTTTGCTAGTTTGAATTGGTAATGATATAGCTAGTATTTTAATTAGTTTGATTTAACGTATGTTTACAGATTGGATCTGGTTCCTCTCGTCTTGGAACAGCAGCAACTATTAAAGGTAGACGTGACATGACTTGAATATTGCCTTTGACTTTCCATTTCTTTCTTTTTTTTGTAGTAAAGGTAACAGTACTGTACATTGAAATGTAATGAAAAAATCATTTTACAGATAAAGTTATCTTACTAAGGTTGTTTGATTTAAATTGTGTTACTCTTATCATCTAAATTTTACAAAAGTGACCATTTGTATTACATTGCATAAAGTGTAAGTTTGATATATCAGAAACTTGTTGCTGAGAGAAAATGCTTTCATAGGTTTAGATGAGGTTCATAGAAAATTAATTTGATGTGAAAAATTTTAATGCAAGTACAAATGAAATAGTAAAAAAGGGAAAGTTTTTCTCCTTCTTTTCTTTTATACCTCTATGTAAGCTGTATTCATACTATTTTTGGCCCAGCAGCTTTTTAGGGGAAGGAAATTTATGTTATTTCATAATTTGTTATAATTTGCATTTCCTTTTTTAAAAATTACTTTAACAGTTTTACTAGTTAACATTATGAAGCTGTCTGTATTACTTGAATTGTAGTTCTGTGAGACTGATTATGTGCCCCGATAGTCCATTATACTTCTTACAGTGCATCTTCCATTATTGTAGCCTTTGATATACAGAGTACTTCACTTGATAAATATCTTCCATACTCCTGATGTTCTTTCTTGGTTATGCCAGTGTCATCATGTTTCTTTTCATAGGGGATACAGATACTGCTAAGACTTCTGATGATATCAGTTTAAGTCTGGGCCAGAGCTCCAGTCTCTGTAAAGAAGGAAGCGAGGAGCAAGGTAAGAACTTTGTGCTTCACAGTGACACTGTATATTGTGGTGACCAGAGTGAATCTGTGGAATATGTCACTCACATTTTGAGAGAAATTTAATATAGTTACTTTTAGGAAACATTAAAATGTCTTATTGGTATAATAGCTTCAAAAGTACTTTTACTGAATTCAGTTATATATGTTCTGGCAAATAAACATGGAGAAATTTTTTGAGATGGGAGATAAGAATTTTCTATTCCTGTAGTTGGTCAGAGCATTTAAACCAGCTAAATGAAAATGTAGTATGTAAAACTGTTATTTTCCATTTAGTATGATCTCTAAATGACAGCTTTTTCATCTCTTGTCCAGCTGCAGAAGTTACAGTGTGTTAGAGAAGCAACTTGCCATTGGACTCTCTGAGAAACTGTATCTATTTCCAACATGGACCTTGTAGCATTTGGCTATATGTGATTTTTTTTTTCCTCCTTATTAAATTCCAATATAAAAGAGTATTTTGGATTATTTTGTGCTTGTATTTTCTTTTTTTTACTTTTAAAAAATATTTTGGGTTTTTATAGTTATTTTAACACATTCTCATGTGTGTTCTTTAAAATTTTCAAACATGAAAAGAAAGATATATGTCATCCCTATTTTTAAATGGAGCTTACTCAAGGTTATATATAATTAAGAAGCCAGAATTTGGTGAGAAACCTGTCTCTCTATTTCCATTCTCTTATTACCTGTTGCTTTTGTTAACTATGGGCAATGTTTGTGAGCAGACCACCTGATAAGTTTCCTATTCTTAATTGTGATGTTTGTTTTTAAGTTATACATAGATCACTAAATTATGGTATTTTCCCATTAATTTGATAACTTATGCAAGTCTATTTCTTACAAGTATATTTTGTTGCTGGTACTTAGAAGTTTATCACTGTAATTCTCTGCTTTTTTGGAATTACAACAGCCATCATTATTTATTTGCTTTTGTGGAGTAACACACCCCCCCTCCCCCGCAAAAGACTTCTAAATATACTGTATGGTATGAGAGCTTGCTTTCTTAACTTTTTTTTTTTTTCACTAAAGGTGAATCAGTTGCTTTGAGAATTACAGTATCCCTTTCTATAATCTGTAAACTTACCTAAGTAGTTGTAGAGGGATTGGAACTACTACATTTGAGATATAGCTCATTATTTTTTGTCTGTAAAGTGTCAGGTGTAAGAAGGATCTTTACAGTCTGGAAGCTTGAGACTTATATTTACTCTTGTAGCTAGCTATGCATTATCATAGATAACACCACCATTAACACAGATAACGATACCATTCACTGAGTGCATATTGTCCAGGCTAGGGAGTCAGTAAACTTATTTTGAAAAAGGCCAGATAGCTTTGTAGGCCATATGGTCTCTTTTGCTACTCAACAACTCAGTTGTAGAGTAAAAGGAGTTGTAGAATGAAAGGAGCTATAAACAATATGAATGAATGGGCATGGTTTGTTATACTAAAACTTTCTTTACAAACATGGCCAGATTTGGTTCCATGGTCCTTATTTGTCAATCTCTGGTTTAGTTCCTCTCTAATCATTGTATGGGCATTTACCTAGTCAACCTTCATAACAGGTATCTGAAGTTGATAATATTCTCACCTTTCAGATAAGCATTATTATGGCTTAGAGAGAAATTATTTAATCACTTTGCTATTCTACTTTCATACAGTTTTATAACTTGCTTTACCATATAACATTTTCGTGATTTCACATTTAACAAATGCTCAACACTTTGCAGTACTAGAAATAAATCTGTGAACAGACCCAAAAAATTGAAGCTTTTTATAGCTTCCATAGTAGCATGGAATCATATTAGTATAAGTCAGTATATGTGTAGTAAGTGTACCATAGGATGGGGAGTGGTGGGGGCTGGGGAAATTATAATTTTAAATAGAATGAGGGAAAACCTCACCTAGAGCAAAGACCTGAAGAAGAAAAAGGTGTATGCCATCAGAGTACCTGGGGGAAAGATATTCTGATGGCCATGCAGAGGGAATAGCAAGTGCAAAAACTGGAAAGTAGGAATGTGTGTCAGTTTTGGGAGATAACGTGGGTTGTTTTGAGTAAGTGAGGGCCCAAATTCTGTAGCATCTTAGCCATTTTAAAGATGTTAGTTTTGCTTCTGAGTGAGATGACTTGCTAAATGGTTGTGTTACATTTTAACACAACACCATGGTTCCTATATTTGGAGTATATTAAAAGGGACAAAAGCTGAGAAGCACAGAGCTTGTTTAGCAGTCTGTTGCATTAATCCAGGGCAAGGGTGTGTGTGTGTTTCTCTAGAAGATATTTAAGAAGATATGTTGATGGATTTGGATATGTCATGTAAGGGAGGTAGTAGTCATGCATGATTCTAAGGCTTTTGGGTTAGGCAAGAGGAGAATGGAGTCTCCTTTAGCTGAAAGGGAAGAATATATTCAAGAGCATGGGAAAGTAAGATAGTGTTTAGTATGACCTCCATACAGTCAGAGAAGTCTGAAATCAGAAGTCAGGTAAAAAGTCTGGGGTAGGGGTTTTAAGTTTAGAAGTTGTTTGTATGTAAATATTTAAAAAAACAGGTTAAAGAAGGGGTTGGATTATTAGGAAGATAATAAACTATTAGGGCAAGCCTGCGTGGTTAGCTGGCATGGTAGTGAAGAGGCCCTTTATTCAGGTCCTTCTTGGTCCTGGCTATGGTTTGGCACCACCTAGTGGCAAATACAGTATTCTGGGTTAAATATAGTATTACTGAATGTAAACTCTTGTGGTTCTCTGACTGGTTTGGATTTACAAGACGGTGACTTTTAGTTGGTTAGCAGTTAATTGATTAGCTGGTACTCCCTTTTGTCACATTATTCCAGATTTTCAGAAAAAATCTGAGGATGTAAAGGTATACTTTCCATTTCTATTTCTTTATTTTCTTGTTTTGGTGGTACTAGGTTTCATCTCCAGCAGTCAATCTCTCTCTTTCTCTCTCTAAATCTTGAGACACAGGATCTTGCTAAATTGCCTGGTCTGGGCTCAAATTTGTGATTCCTTGCCTTAGCCTCTTAGAGTGCTGGAATTACAGGTGTGTGCCATACTCAGCTTAACTTTTTTTTTTTTTAAGGTATAACTATTATCATTTACTAAACACACACATATACAAAAATTAAAATTATTCAAAGAAAAGCAATGCAAGGGAAAAAACTATAATAATATTCAACTATAATAGAACTCAACCAAAGCAAAACTGAAAAGTACTTAAACATTTTTCCATATAATTTAAAAAAGCATCTCAAGCATTAACAAGACATCAAAGGATGTGATTTGTTTTAGAAAGGTTTTCAAAACTAATACTGAACAAATAGTGGTCTGGAAAAAAAATTCTAATTAGCTAGTAGACTCCACATAGGCCAAAATTTTTAAATTTAAATTTCAATACAGTCATGTGACATGTGATAGAAATATAATCTGAGAAATATGTTACTAGGCAATTTCATCTGTGTGTATCACAAAGTACCACACAGAGTGCCAACTTCTAAGTGCAAACTGAGAAGGTATACGTCAATCATCTGTGATGGCCCCTTGATATTACCCAAATGCACAGTTAAACAAGAGTTACATGAGGCTACCATTGGCATAGCAGCACACTGTTTTACAGTAAACTCTTTTGTATAAGTAGGATTATGCTCTAAAGGATGAAAAGCACAGTATGTTACGATAAGTACATAAAACAGTAACAGTCATTTATCACACTATCGAATACTGTGTACTGTACATAGTTGTATGTGCTTCTTTTGGAAACACACCCTTCTCTCCTTTGATCTCAGTGGCTCTTCCTTCTCCACCCACTGATGAGCTCCAGCCTAGTCTCTATCTACATCTCTTCCTATCAGCTTAACTTTTAAATTTTAGAATTTAAAGAATGTAAGAATCTAAGTACAGTGATTTTTTTTTTTTTCCTTTGGGGGTTTGAACTTGGGGTCTTGTGTTTGTGAGGCAGGCAGTGGAACCACTGAGCTAAATCCCCGGCCCTACAGTGATTTTTTTTTGTGTGCAAATAATAATTTGGTTTTACTTATCTTGAAAATATAAGAAAAAGCCTAACAAGTCATTTATAAATCACAGTTTATATGGTATATACTGCATGCTATCTCTTAAGTCTTTAATTATTTAGATCTAATGAAGATTAAGTTTGTTTTAAGTTCATAAATATTTCTAGTATCCCAGTTTAATCTTAGGGAGAAATTTCTGGTTTTACCATTTATTCTGTTGGGAAAAGTGTCACTGTAGAGTCTGTTATGCTTTCCTATACAATTATGACAAATAAGACTGTAATTTTTCTTTTTATTGAACTAACAGCAGGTTTAAGCATCCTGCCTGTCAAAATGTACATTTAAAAATCAACTTTTGTGCAGTTCTATATATTCCAAGTTAAATTACGACCTAGGTTGATAGGTAGATGGACTTATTTATATTTATGTCTACATTTCTCATTATAGTTACAAAGTATATATGGAAATTCAACTACTACTATAAAAGGAGGATTAAAGGAATGGTCTTACAGATACAGGAGGCTGTGCAATTTTTTATGAGGCATTTTGTAATTGTTATATATCAGTGATAAAAGAGAAAATGCAGTATGTTGCCCAGTAATTATTGTTAGTTTTTAGCCATAAGGAACAGTAAGATATCTTGTATCATTTATGCTGTATTTTATTTGGGCATTGGTTAACCCTTTGATTTTTTTTTTTTCTGTTTCTGCTTAGGTTTTTGTTGATTTGTAAAATAATCATCTTTGTTTTTCAAAAGGATTTTGGTAATGTTAGGTAAAATAATGATAGCTACCATAAGTTGTGATGGTATTATGTCAAGCACTGTTACTAACTCCATATTCCTTGCTTACTATTCAAGAAGGTTGATTTTATAAAAGAAATAGAGATTTAGAAGGGTAACACACTGCCACTTGACTGGTAAATTGGAGATAGAGCTTGCCTAGAAACCCAGGTCCATTTTAAATAGAATCAATCCTCTTCTGCCCCCCCCCCCAAAATTTGCTGATAGTCTATAGAACCTTTTTGGAGGCCAGTTGAATAACTCAAAGATGTGAAAATTCAGTTCATTCCATCAGTAGAAAGCTTTCTTTGTGTAGCTGTGGAATAGAAACCAGCTCTTAGAAGTGACTGGCCAAGTATTAATCAGTGAACTGCTTGAGAAATTGTTTATACTTGATTTACTGTATGCTGTGAATTCTTTCCATTGTAAAATAGTAGAGAAGCAGATCATATATCTGTGTTAACATTTCCAAATATGTGTTTGGAACAGATTTGGCAACTGATCGGAAGCTTTTCCGTCTGGTCTCCAATGACTCCTTCATCTCCATTCAGCCTTCTTTGTCCTCTTGTGGACAGGACCTACCAAGGGACTTGAGTGACAAAGCAAGCCTGCCAAGTCATAGCCACCACCACCACATCGAACAGTCTCTCTCCAGTGCCTGTGACACAGAAGTAGCTTCCCTCGTACCTTTACATTCACACTCTTATAGGAAAGATCACCGGCCACGAGGTGTACCACGGACTTCTAGCTCTGCTGTGGCTTTTCCTGACACATCACTGAATGACTTCCCTCTTTATCAGCAAAGACGTGGGTTAGATCCAGTTAGTGAGTTAGAATCTTCTAAGCCTCATTCTGGATCTAAAGAATCCTTGGTGGTCAGTTCTTGTCTACCAGGGGAATTTCAGCATGCTGATGACCTGAAAAACAGTAATTCTCAGCCACCCACAAAAAGTGGGAAGAACAAAGCATTAAATGCTGACAAAAGCATGGACAGCCTGCGGAGCCTCAGCACACGGAGTAGCGGGTCAACAGAGAGCTACTGCAGTGGGACAGACCGTGACACCAACAGTACCGTCAGCAGCTATAAAAGTGAGCAGACCAGCTCCACTCACATAGAGAGCATCTTATCAGAGCACGAGGAGTCTCCTAAAGTGGGAAAGAGAAGCCCTGGGAATAAAGAGTCCTGTCCTGACGCAGAGGAGATGAGTAGCTGTGCCAGTGATAAAAGGACTAACAGTGAAAAAACCATCCTAGAAGTGAGTTCAAATAGTGGGGCTCCTGAGGCCCAGGATTCTGAAGCCTCTGATGAGATACACAATCAGAGGAGAATTAGCACCTCTGCATCTGAAGAAGCTAATAAAAACCCCCACGCGAATGAGTTCCCTGCGCCAAGGAACAGACTACCTGAGAAAACTGCTGAAAACAAAGAGGAGCAGAATGAGAAGACCAGTGTTGTGGTGGATTCAAAAGTTTGTAAAGACACTGGCGGAAAGCAGAAGGAAGGGGATGTTCGACCCAAATCCTCTAGCTTAATCCACAGGACAGCCTCTGCCCATAAGTCAGGCCGGAGACGGCCAGGAAAGAAACGGGCCAGCAGTTTTGATTCGAGCCGGCACAGGGACTATGTTTCTTTTCGAACTGTTTCCAGAACCAAACCACATAGTGCTATATTTTGTCACGACGAGGACTCTAGTGATCAAAGTGACTTGAGTAGAGCATCAAGTGTTCAGTCTGCTCACCAGTTCAGCAGTGATAGCTCTTCCAGTACCACGTCTCATTCATGCCAGTCTCCTGAGGGCAGATACAGTGCTCTGAAGACCAAACACGTTCATAAGGAAAGGGGGACAGACTTGGAACACACACATAAAGCTCACCTGGGTCCTGAAGGAGCCAGCAAAAAGCGGGCCGCACGACGGCCTTCCAGTACAAATAGTGCTAAGACTCGTGCCCGAGTGCTGAGCTTGGACAGTGGCACAGTAGCATGCTTGAATGATTCAAATAGGCTCATGGCACCTGAAAATATAAAGCCGTTAACCACCTCCAAATCAGATCTTGAGGCCAAAGAGGGAGAGGTGCTAGATGAACTGTCTTTATTGGGTCGGGCTTCACAGTTAGAGACAGTCACTCGATCTAGGAATAGTTTGCCAAGCCAGGTTGCATTTCCAGAAGGGGAGGAGCAAGATACCATCAGTAGAGGTAAGTAAACCCTAAGAAGAGACTTCCTGAAGAGTCACTTTGGATTTGGTACTTGTTGTGGGAGTAGTGCTTACTAAAATATGCTTTCTTTTAATACTCCTCTTCCATTGAGTTATTAAAACAAGCCTTCAATGAAGGAGATGGTCGTCTTAGAAAAAAGTTTTGGTATGAATACCAAGCACTTTTTCACTTGTCTTACTGTCAACTTGTTTGTTCATTCGTTCTTTTTCTCTCTCTCTTCTTCTTCTTTCTCTTTTTTCTTCTTTCTTTCTTTCTTTCTTTCTTTCTTTCTTTCTTTCTTTCTTTCTTTCTTTCATCTCACTGTGTAGTTCAGGCTGGCCTTGAACTCACTATGTAGCCCAGGTTGGCCTCAAACTCTCAATCATCCTTCTGCTTCAGGCTCCTGAGTGCTGGGATTACAGGTCTGCAGCACCACACCTGGCTGTGAATTTGTTTTTGATGGTCTCCACTTTTCTAAGCCAGTTGCCATTGGTTAATGTTTTACTGACAAGGACAAAAGTTATCCCCTTCTTTTGTACAACGATAGCAACAACAAAATGTGGAATTTATTAGGACACCAAACCACTTTTAGTCATCTCTTTAAAAATTATTGTATTTTATTAGTATATGTTATTATGTGGTGATGGGATTTATTTTGGGAAGTTGGTACGTGTGTACAATGTATCAGTCAGTTTCAATGCCATTATAGTTCTCTCCCTTTCCTGCCCTCTCCTTATCCTCTTCCCAGTCTCTACAAGTCTACATCCTGCTTCACTTTTAGTTGTCTCTTACAGTGTGTGCTTACACAGTTCACAGTGTGAACTTCCAGAATTAGATCATTCAACTTGTTATATAAAAATTTTCCAAATACAGCACTGCTTTAGCTCTGATTATGTACTTTGAAAACTGTGATTTGTTTTTTTCTGTGTCTTTGGTTTTATTTCTTCCTTAATTCAAGTTTCAGATACTATGAAAATTTCATTTTTTTCTGTAAGTTTACATTTTAAAGTTTATTAAACTGAAGTTGGTAGTTTACATTGGCATTGTATGTCTGTTAATGAGTGTATGATGCCTCTTAGGATAGTGATGGTAATTTGGTTAAAGTAATAGCTTATTTATTTCAAGTTTATAGAGAATTGTACAGAACCGAGTGGGTAGTTTTGTATTGTCATTGTGTTTGGCCTTTGAGAGATTTTTTTTTCAATTTCAGAGTTGTTGTTTCTTACTATTTTCTCCTACTAAAAATAGATTTTTTTTTCTGATTATGAAATGTGCATCTTGAATGGAATCAGATTTAGATCTTCTGTTCTTATCACATTAACTTTTTTTAGTCTCTACTCCTATTCCCTTTATTTGGGTTTATAGTGTTAGTTTTAATGTTTATAATCTTGGTGTAGTAACTGTTCAAGCTTTTATTAAAAATTAAGCTGGATTTTCTGTTTTTACAAACATTTCTAACCATATGACTGCTTTTTATCTTTAAGAATTTAAATCTCACCCAGAGTATTTTACAAGTTTGTATTGTAGTAAACATTGTGTTTTTTTTTCTTGTTTTGGAGAAGTTTCTAACCAAGTTTTAACTACTAGTAGGCATGTAAAGAAATAGTCTGTAGTGCCTAAGGAAAAAAGTAGTCCATCAAATCTAAATATTGAGACCAAATTATATCTGAAGTAATTGTAACCACTTGATATCAGGATAGCAATTAAATTCCCTGGAGCTTTTGACCAGATACTATTGTGTTTCAGTGATTTCTCACATAAATTTGTTGCAGTATACAAGAAACCATTAGGTTTTATAGTATAGCTTAATTTTTAAAGTTATCAAAATAATTTTTAAGAGTATACGTACTATAATAGAAAAATATTGCTGTTCTCAGTATTGTTGAAATGTAAATACTGACAAAATATGTGCACGATCTATAGTAAATATATGTCTATGTTTAAGTTGCCGTTTTCTTTTTACAGGGAATGTGGGGTGTTCCATTTTTAAGGAAGAGTTACACTGAAGATGTTATTTGGTTTTTAGTACAGTTCTTGGATCATATAAACCCTCATTCTTCCAAATTACAGCTTTTGTTGTCTGTACTTAAAAAAATTAATTGCATCTTCATAAGAAACAAATAATGAGTTAAAAAATTTTTTACCTACTTTGGAGGGAGAAATTAATTGTGGGCAGTTGAAAATAATTTTTTGCCAAAGGAAAGCATTGTAAGGGCTATTTTTATTTGATCTTCATTGTGTTTAGAATAAAAATAAGAGTTAAAATAAAGCTTAAATATGTTGGGGATTTATATTTAATTGCTTTTCATTACAACTAAATATAGTGATTTTATTTGGTCTTTTGGAAGATTGGATGTAATTGGAGGGGATTTGTTTTTATTCTCATTATTTAAAAATTACATAGATCCAAATATTAAAGGTATTTATTTATAGAAGCATTATTTGTTTGCTTTGGTTTTTTGAGACAGGATCTCACTATGTACTGTAGTTCAGACTGGCCTTTAACTAACTATGTAGCCCAGGCTGGCCTCAAACTCATAGCTGTCTTCCTGCCTCAGCCTCTCAAGTGCTGGTATTCCAGGCGTGCACTTACCACTCCTGGCCTAGAAGCATTATTTGTTACAGTCTGTTTCAGGAGAAAAGTTTTAGGCTGTCTAGTCTGTCTTACATACTGCACTCCAAAAAATGTTGCTGCTTGCCCATTCGTATGCCTAGACATAAAACCATAAGTAGATTTTATTTCAGTGAATTTGGAGGTACTGATGAATTCTCCAAAAATTTTTGTTTTATTTTTAAGTTGGATGCTGTTCATTATGTGAAGGGATAAAATTTAGGAAATGTATTTTAAAGTAATAAAAATATTCCATATTAGGAGAGAATCTAGTTTAATGTCATAGAATCATATACCTTTGTTAGTACATGGACTCCCACTGTTGTGGCTGTTGGAAAGTTAACTTACTTGCTTTAAGTTGCAGCTCTCATTTTAAAATGAGATGATAGTACTATATGTTTCATAAGGTAGTTGTGAATTTTATATGTATTAAAAGTTAATACACATAAAATGCTTAGAATAGTGCCTGACACATAGTAAATATTTAATAATGTTTCTATTATTATTAACAAACAGGCCAGTTTGTTATGCTACACAGACATATCCTGTCCTGTTTGACCCTTTTAATTGAGTGATATGAAAATAAAGTAGAAGAAAATGCACATAGAAGCAAGTTAGAAACATATTGTGTCAATGTGAGAAACTTGACAATATTAAAAATAAAATTAGCATCTGAATTCCTAACTTCTTATACCAACAGAAAAACATTTTTTAACATCTAATCCAGTAATATGAGTTTTACCTTATTTTGATGGTATATGTCATATAACTTGTCTTTTAATATTCAACTGTATGACAGATGTTCTTTTTCATGACTGTAGTAACAGCAGAAGAAATGTACAGCAAATCCTAAAGGAGGAACTGTATTAACTATAGAGCAAAGCAAGAAATATAATGGAGGATGCTCCTTAAATGCAGGGACAAGTCATCTTTTTAATTTTAATAATGTTCAAAGACATCATGGTATCATAACTTAATATTATAGTACATATAATGCTGTAATAAATGTGTATATGGCTGACTGATTCATTAAGAGTATGTTTAGGCTATCTTGTGAAGAAAGCTGAGACATTTAAAAAACTAAAAGAATGCTCATTAAAGTACAGTGAAACATATTTGGTAAAATAACCTTCCCTTACAGCAATATCAAGACAAGAGATGTTGATCAGTGAAGTAAATATTTATATATTGAATTTCCAAGACCCATCTGTGTCTAATTTTTGTCAGATACAGATAGTGTGCTTTTTGTAGCAGCAGTGGAATTTGAAATAAAGAATCAGTTACATTTTAATACACCTTTAACTGCCAACTGAATACTCTGGCAAGCAATTAAATCTGTTCCTCATCTTCAGTTGTAAATCAGGAATCATAATTGTCTAGGCCTGTCTCACAGTTAACTGTCAGGCTCTTGACAGGCTTACAAGTGTGAAAGTGCTTTGTAGATGGCAGATTCATTATGTAAACTAAAACACTGATGCCTTTTCATCATTTCAGAAGTTTACCTTTTCAAATATGTTACTTCATATACATACATATATAGTATAATATATATTTTTCACTAGTAACCCTTTATTAGGTGAATTGCCTGAAAAATACATGCAAAATTGTATTTGAACTTTTCTGAGAAAAGGTTGATCTTTTAATCCCATTCACAAAGGATTTAAAAGATTAAAAACTAGCTATGAAAGTAATTCATTCTTAAAGTGTGTATCTTAGAAATTATTCTGTATGAATTAGTCTCCAGAGTTATCACTTAGTTTCTTGAAAGCTTTTCATCTACCAAATATATTTCTTGGCTGCTGGGTTTGTGGAAAATATAAGTAGAGGATATGCAAATTCTCTTTAACTCAAAACACAGCTGATAATTTTATTGTTGTTTACACTTTGTTGATTTACTTGCACAGATGAGAATTTTTTTAGTTCAGAATGATGCTTAGAAGTTGTGCAGTAGATTACGATTGTTCTTTGGCCTCCCTGAAAATGTCGCATATAGAAGCATTTCGTTCTTCATTAGAAGACATTATTTGCATGTTGATGTTAGCATTGTTCTTGGTTGCCATGGAAAATAAGAAATGAAAAAGCTGTTTAGATAAAATGGATTTCATGCCTAGACTAAAATATTTCATTCAGAATTTTTTTTTGTAAAATCAATGGGATGTTTCTTTCTTTGTGGTAATTTTATTAAGTAAAATAGTTTTTACCTTGAATATTTCAGAATATTTGCACACCTTTTATTTTTCTGAGATGTATATATACTTGTTTTATACTTTTGTCATCTTTATTAAAAATGTAATTTCCTAATAGCATTTTTCTGATCTCTTTGAGGTACCAAACACACATTTTTATCTTCTCAGTTTTCCTAGATATATTTTTTCCATAATAAGCACTTTGTGATAAAAAGAACAGTTTTCTTGAGTAGCATCTTCTGTCTAAATTTTTAACTTACTTAATAGGAATTGAGCTACTCCAAGAGGCCAGCCATAGCATTACATAACCATTAGAAAGTAACTTCGGACCTATCAGTCCTCAAATAGTTTTCTAGGAGGGATCTTTATCTCTGCATATTTATACTCGGAACTTTCTGGTTTTTGAGATAGAATTTAGACAACCCTCACCTCCTGCCTCATCAAATTTTGCTTTTATGTGTATGTTAGCCTTTAATGCTTTTACTGTTGCAATTACCCCCATATAAACAAATAGTTGCACTAAAATAATTTGGTAGAGAAATGTGTAGATTTCCTTACTTCATTGAGATAAATGGGAAGCAACTCCTTGGATGGAAAGTGTGTTTTGTGGATTTTACTTTTTTGTGATCATCAAGAATAGATCTGACTAGATTTACTGAAATGTTTTAAGGTATTTGTGCCTTGTCTTTTGGTTTAAATCTCCTTGAGTGATTATATCACCATACCAGAAAAGCTGAATTACTTGAAGGTCTCTCTTACACTTACGATGAACATAAATTTAGTACTTTGAAGACTATTCTAATGCAAATAAAGAAATATTTAAAAAGTCAAGACTTGCAATTTTAAAAATAAAAATGTAGGGCCGGGGATTTAGCTCAGTGGTTTCCCTGCCTGCTGCGCAAGCACAAGGACCCGAGTTCAATCCCCGGTACCAAAAAATAAAAAATTTTTAAAAAATATATATAACAGTTTGATTATATGTCCTTAGAAATATTTGACGTTTTCTTATTCATAGTTTTTGAATCACTTGGATGTTTTTGGATTTTTTTTCTTCTTTACATACACATGTCTAAATGAAAAGCCTGGCATTTTCAGTTGAAATGTGTGATCCTAATTATTGTTAAGACAGGTGCTATAGTGAATATTTTGAAAATTCTTATAACAATAGGCATTTACACCCTGAGTGTTACAAAGGATAATTTAGGCAATAATCGTAATTCCACTTTAATACATTGACCAATGGATGCCTATACTTTTTACCTTGGTCTGTTTTCAAAACTATTAAGGAAGTAAGTAAGGTAATTTATATCTGTTTTATAGATAAAATATAGTGTATTAATAGCCAAAAAACCTCTTGTTTTCTAAAAAAAAACGCAAAGAACTTTTTGACTAAAAGATTCTGGAATGTTTTGTTCGGTTTTGATCTCTGTACTGTGAAATAATTAGCTTTTACTTAAGATTAACACCATTAAAATTAAGTCTTCAGTAGAAGGAAGCTAGTAAAGAAAGCCATCTGCTTTTTTCTTTCTCAGCATTTCATGGAGCACACGCTGCTTTTTCCAAATTCTTTTGAATAATTTTAGTACATTTTATGGATTAGGTTATCTCCTATAAATTATGTCTGGATACATTTTCCCAAGTGCTGAGATTTACAGGTATGTGCCACCATGGCCAGCTCACAAAATAACTGCTGAATTGAGTTTCTAAATAGTGATTCACATTCCGTAATCTGACTTTACTGGTATCTAAGGTCAGTTAATAGATCTAAATTTTCATTGCTTCCTTCAAACTGGCTTGTTTTCTTTCTTCTTTCAGCAACTGCCTTGATAATGCCTATTTTTTCCTTTGTGACAACGCAGATTGTGTTTTCATTGAGGTCGTAGTTGTTAGGAATTGGCAAAATATTCAAGTGCTTTGTAGATTGTGATAACAAAACAGCAAGTTGACTTTTTAAATCAGCACTGAAATACACCTTTTCATGGTGATGGGAATGCTCCTGTGTCTAATGGTGTCCACTTGCTGCTGTTACACTAGGGAGTGCATGTGAGGAATGGAATTTTTAATTTTAGTTATTCAAGTTTAGCCACATGTAGCTAATGGATATTATTACAGTATGATAGCTAAGTATTATATTGGACCGCACAGTTCTAAATGACCAGATTTAACTAGCATCATTTCTTCATTGATTGTATATAATTTTTGGGTACACGAGCTTTTATCTCTCAAATAAAAGCTTTTTTATGTTTAAAAGAATTTTTGTGTTTGGATGAATGTTTTTTGCATTAGCTTCTTTTGTTTTAATTATATTTAGCATCAAAATAGCCTTTCTCACTAGGTAACAACAGCTAGTTTATATTCAAATGAACAAAAATCATTTTACAGTTTGCTTTAGAAACCCAGGCATTAGAATGATTTTGTAAAATTTATATAATTCTGCCAAGCCATTATTGTGATTTTCTCATTGTTATGTATTTGTTTTTTAGTTTGTACTTTATGGCTTCTAGATTAGACTGTGAGTGTCTGTGCTGTACTTGAGATTTTGCTGCTATTTGCTTTCTAATTTGTGGGGAATAGGGCCATAGTTTTTCAATAAATGTGGATGGTAGCAATGTATTATACAGTTAAGACATATTAATACTATCTTGAATTTTTAATAAACTAGTTGTACAGCCCTGAAGTCAGGATTCCATTTAATGCTGCCAAAACCATAGCACAGAGTACTGCGAGATAAATTTACTGCCTTACTCCTTAGCATCTACCATGAAGTATAGGGGTCCCTACTGTATGACAGCTCAGTTTTACAGTATGATAGTTCAAAAGTGATGCATATTCAGTAGAAACTTTTGAGTTTTGAACTTTGATCTTTTCCCGGGCTAGCAATATATGATGTAGTAAGTACTCCATTTCAATGTTGGGCACTGGCAGTGAGCCAAGGCTCCGTCAGCCACATAATCAAGGGAAAACAACAGATACTCTGCACTGTAACCTGCCACTAAATTATGATGTTTAGTAGGTTAGGTGTGTTAAAAGGAATTTTGACCTGTGATATTTTCACTGTACAGTGGGTTTATTAGGTATAACTTCATCATAAGTCAAGGAGCACCTGTATATCTTTGCTGCTTTTTCTGTTCTCTTAAGAGTACAAAACTAATGCCCCTATTCCTATTAGTAGAAACTAACAAATACTTTTAAGATTGATTTAATTAAAGGAAGAATAGAGGGATATGGGACAAAAATAAGCGAGACTTTCAGGAAAATATTTAAAGCAATAGAAATGTTAAAATAGGAAATTGAAGGGAAGACGATGAGGTCAAAGACACAGTTTTTGAAAAATAAATTCACTTTAAATAAGTGACCCATACTCTTATTACCTGATATGATAGATTTACAGTGTATATGTGAAAGCAGTTTGGATTAAAGTAGACATGTTCTCTTTAATCATGAGGGTGGGACATCAAGGGAAAGACAAGCTCAGCTGCTATTTACATCTCTGACCTAGGCTCCCATTTGACCTAAGTCTGTCTTGATGCAGCAGCACAAGCCAGCGAGGAGACAGTGTCATTCCGCCGCGAACGCAGTACATTTAGGCGCCAGGCAGTGCGGCGCCGGCACAATGCAGGGAGTAACCCTACCCCTCCTACCTTGCTCATCGGATCACCCCTAAGGTATGGTATTTTTAAATTCCACCAAGTTTAGCATGCATGCAAACAAACTTTCTAATCTGTTTTTGTCAGACTCAAGAAAGCATTACAAGAGCTTTGGCTTTGTTTCTTTTCTATACATTTTAGCTTTTTAGGCTTTCATTGCATGTGCCATGAGCCTATTGCAATATGCATGCCTTATGTTGCACTCTTTAAGTAAAATAATCAGATTGGTCTTGCCAGTTTTAAATAGAAAAATCACTTTAGAGTAATTATAGAAATGTTTAAATAGCAGGCTTTAAGTTAGCTTTTCTTTTTATATTCCAAATTAATAATATTAATAATTCTTCCCAATGTCGTGACAGTGTTTTATATGAACAATTATGGGACTAAGTGGTGAGGTTGTTGAGAAATAACACATAACTGACCTCAGCTTGATAAGTTAATTTGATTATTTCATGTCACTAAAATACAATGCATTTTATTTTATATTGCTTAAAACTTGGTGTCTCTTATTTCACAATCACCAGGATCTAGTAAGTGACACAGAACAAAAATATTTAATTTATGTTAAGTGTAGTCATTTGGATATTGCTATTTCTGTGTATATCTATTTTAATTTCTCAATCCCTTATAGGGTATTCAACAAAACCATTTTTATTTTTTCTAATATTTCCAAGTAAGAAAACATCCATTTATAATATTGGGGATAATTTTCCATTAAAATTTCTTTTTTTTTGGTACTGGGGATCGAACTCGGGACCTTGCGCTTGTGAGGCAGGTGGCGGAACCACTAAGCTAAATCCCCATCCCAATTTTCCATTAAAATTTTAAAATTGTTTTATTCTTAATTACATCAAACCTCATGAGTGTATATTGAATAAGAAATGTAAAAATCTAGTTGGAAAACTTATGCTTTGTTTTAAAAGACAAAATATGAACCTCAATACATGTGCTTGCTTAAGCAGTGCATATATTACATTGTATACTTTTATTATTGTCTGTGCCCAAAAGTACCATACAAATTATTTTTCTGTCACATTTTAATTTCAACTTAAGGAGGAGTATTTGATGAAATAACTTTTGTTGAGTGCATGGTAGGCTAGAAGAGATAAACTCTCCCCTTCTCTTTTTAAAACCTTGTTCTTGAGAATAGCAAAATTCTGTTTCTTTAAACATTTCATTTTATATTCTCCTGAGATTTAATACTCAATTATTTTCCTGTATTTTGTGTTATAGCTGGGAGCTTCATTTTTCATAGGTCAACTTCCTAATTCAGTAATGTATGATTATGTAAAAAGTAGTATGGATTAAACCAATATTTATAATATAAAAATGGGAAGACAATCAATTTAAAAGAAACATTCGTTCTAGCAAATTGCTTTTTGCGAGCCCTCCCCTTCCATTTCCTTTCTACCTCCTTTCTTTCCTCCTAAAGGAACTTTCCTTTCTGCTAGTGGATTTGGGCCTAGTCCTAACATGCAGAAAGAACTGAGCATTTTCTTTTTCTTTTTCTATTTTGTTTCTAACTTCTTTTTGCCCCATGATTAATACTTGCCATAGATAACTTTCTTTCCTTCTTACTTGCTTCATGTTTATATTTCTTAAACATTTTTTAACCTTCTATTTTTAGTCTTTAGAAATCTTTTTATTCTCTGCCACAAATGCACTTGCTGAATCTCACTGACCAACTGTAGACAGATTAGTTTCTTTCTCTGCCTGGTGGAATATTAAAGAATTACTGTTTTATCTCCAGCCAGTCACATAGTATTTTTCCAACTTTTTCTAGGGTTTTAAAAACATCTTATCTAGGATATGATGTAGAACTTACTTCTAAAGGATTCACGTTAGAATATTTGGAAAGTAGTCTTCCAGTAGTTAGGATGTAGTTTTTCTTAAGGTTCGAGGATATTTCCAATATAAAAGTTGCATATATTTTAAATAAGCTGACCAAAATTTAGATGTGAGGAATTAGGAGAAATACCAACTTACTGAAATTGTATTTTTGTAATTGTAAAAATATTCAGATAAAGTATATTGTTGTTTTTCAGTGTAAGCTATGAAGTAATTTCATCTTTGATTATAGGATAGAAAGTTCATTTAAAATTTGGAAAGCTTATTTGTCAAAAAGGGTAGATGTGACCATACTTTCATTACAATTACTATATAGTACGGTGTAAATACTAGTAAAATCTACAGTAGGATCCCCCTATATGTTCCAAGGCCCTCAGTGGATACCTCAAACCTCAGATAATACTGAACCCTATATATATTTTCCTATACAGTATGTACATGCTTATGATAAACTTTAATTTATAAATTTAGCACAGTAAGACAATAACATTAATAACTGAACATTTATAACAATATATCTTAATGAGAGGTATTTAAAACTTACTAATTTTTTACTTTTGGAATTTTCAGTTTAATATTTTCAGACTGCTGTTGACTGCAGGTAGCTGGAACCACAGGAAGTAAAACCTTGATCAAATTGGAGATGCTGTATTTTAAACTTAATGAATTACTTAAATAATGACCACCCCAAAAGCAACTTGTTAAAATATGTGCTTGTAAGGATAAGGAGTGAATCATCAGTTAACTTAAACAGAGATTTTGCATATTTTTTATAATGCTTATTAGAATAAACTCTTACAGATTTTTTTTTCTTTGAGATAGGACCTCACTTTATAGTACAAGCCATCCTTAAACTGGCTATATAATCCCCTGGATCCTTCTACTTAGCCTCTTGGATGCTGGGGTTACAGGCACACATCACTACACCACCTAGAATTAATTATATTTTAAGTGTTTTGTTTTTTGGTTTTTTGGGGGGCTGGGGGGTTGGCACCGGGGATCAAACTGGGGCCCTTGTGCTTTTGAGGCAGGCAGCACAACCACTGAGCTAAATCCCCGGCCCAATTTTAAGTGTTTTTAAATTAAGTTACCCTTGTAGGTAGGTTTTGTAGACCCCTACTTACATTACTACTAGTTACATGATCTATAAACAAGTATTTCTAAAATTACAATTAAAAAACTAAGAGTCCTGTATTAACCTTAATTTCCTGTGTTTTTGAATTCTAGTTAATATCTTGGAGTGGCGAGAAATCATCAGTAATTTAAGGACAGAGAAAAAAGCATTAGTGTACTTATTTGATCTGTTTTTAAAAATATAAGATTGAAAGATATGTAGTAAGGTCATAGTCACACATGAGAATGCATGATTAGAAACTCATAAGGATCATTTTGTGGTCTGACATAAAGCCACCAAATATTTGTTGTTTGTGTACTATGTGCAAGACACTTTTTTCTCTGGGATTGAAACACTTGAGTACATTTTAGTTGGGAAGACACAAAGGTAACTGACAGCCGTATAAGGCAGAATGTTCAAGTACCACTTCAGTGGTACAGAGGAAGGAAAGACTGTGACCAACAATTTTTCTGTCACTGAAATTAGAAATGTTAATTAGTATGATTGTATGTCAGTGATACCTGTCGTACCTCATAATTATAGACCCAAATTTCTACCTTTCCTTTGCCTTTGTTATAGTTAGTATCTTTTCTCAAACTGATAGGTTTACAGTGTAATTGGAGCTGTAAAAAAGACATATTCATGCCAGTTATTAGTTTGAAATGAAGTGCAGCCTTCCAGGAAAATGTTTCCTGACAATTTGTGCAAAAATAACAGGCTTTATTGTTGTTGAAGAGCTTGTGAAAGGGATGTAGACATTTTATTACTAGCTTTTGGTGTTAAAAAAAGCTTGACATTTATAATCACAGATTTTGGCTAATTTCTTTATTCCAGAGTTGATTTTTATGTACAGACTAATATTTTGAAAACATTTTGTATATTTGGATGTACATTGTGCATCTCTGGATTGAAGATAGTATATTCTTAAATATGCTCACACTGAAGTCCATCTAACTACACCTTTATTTATAACTTTAAGTGGAAAAAGATTGATGAAAAATTTTGTTGAATACATATTCTGTAAAATTCTGCTATTTTCTGAATCCATTGAACTACTTAAATGTTTTTTTCTATTTTCTCTCGTGAAATTTGTTTATTTTGGTAAGGTTTATAGATAAGTTTAAATAGCTCCCGAGGAAGAGTAACACATCAATTATATATATGTAGGAAGATAAAAACTTTGTTCTCAGGACCATTTCTTGATTTATATATATTGTATAAAGATCCTAGACCAAAGAAGTTACTAAGTAAATATTTTTATAAGTATAGCTTAAATAATTCCAGTAAATATCAACAAGTCAGAATTTTGCCAAGTCAAAACTTGGTGTTCTTATATGTTGTATGCATTCCTATACTCTGCTTAGATTGTGTACTTTTTTATAGTACACACTAAAAGAAGCCTGTAGTACTCTCTAAAAGAAGCCTGAAGAAGTGAATGTTGTTGGTATTTTATAGAATATTCTATAATGGTAGAAATATCCTATAGTCTCTACTATCCAATATGGTGATTCTAATTGCTAGCTATAGCCCACTTAGGTAGGCTGTTAGCTGTGGTAGCCAATAGTTACTTGGTTACTGACCACTTGAAATGGTCAGTATGACTAAGGAACTAAATTTTTTAATTAAATGTTCCCGGGTTGCTGTATTGGACAGGGTAGAGTATTCTGTTGCCATAGCCAAAAAGGCTAAGCAATATACTGTATACAGTATTTTCTACTTAGCTTTTTAGTTCACGATCTGTCTACAGCAGTTAAGTTTGTTTTATAGGTACCAGAGAAGCCATTGAATTCAAGGCATCAGAGACAAGTTGATACTCATTAAAAATGATAAAGTAACTAAATGAGTTCATCCTTTTTTTTCTAGAAGTCTGTTTTAGTAACAGTCTCTGGGATTGTTTAATCTTAAATTGACAGAATGCAGTGTTGCATTGTACATCATGGGGAGAATGATACATAATAATTATAATGAAAATGTTTTCATGAATTTTATCAGTTTAAATTTGACTACATATTGTATTAAAATTTGTATTATCTGAAATTTATAAAATATAATGTAGGAAAATCAAATAATCTTATAAAAATTAAATAATAAATTTATAACAAAATGCTTAATATCTTAAAGATTTTATAAATTTGGAAAAGACTGGAAAATCCCTGGAGAAATTATAGGTTTCAAAATTACTAAGCTTTTCTAAAATGATGGATCCTTGTTAATGAGGTAGTAACATGGATTGGAAAAGAAAATAACAAAATTAAGGGAACATAATTGCTAACTAACACGTGGTACATAAAATGTGTGGCATTAGTTCATTAATATATAGGCCTTTTGTACATAATACTTTGTATCAGTCTGCTTCTGCCACTGTCCCAATGGTCATTTTTTTTTTTTTTTTTTGGTACCAGGGATTGAACTCGGGACCTTGCGCTTGTGAGGCAGGCGCCAGAACCACTGAGCTAAATCCCCAGCCCTCAATGGTCATTTTTATTTCATTTGGTTAAGTGAGTTTTTCTGGGTCTCATATTTGTGATTTTTTTAAAAAAATTTAAAATTGTCATCTTGGTTGCATTTGATAAAGATTCTTTGATTTTCATGTACATAGAAACTTTGTTTTACTATGAATTTGAGATCTCAGAATATTTGAAATAAAATTCTAGAGTTACTACGAGACTCAAGTAAAGACTGCAAAATAGGGTTCACTATTGGGGACCACCCCAACACATATACTGAATTATTTACAATTCTTCTTTGCTGTTTTCTGTTTCCTTAACACTAGAATTTAGTTGGCTTTGAGATGGAAGAAAGTTTCAGATTAACCAATTTGCATATAAATTGAATGTTTATGGAGTTCATCATTATGGATCAAATTAATAAGGACCAGAACATTTAGATTGTCAGTGTAATTTGTATATTTTGCCAGGTTTCTTGGCTCTTTCTTTGGTTAAATTGAAAAGTTATCTTTGTGAAATCAGTTTTCTATTTTGATTTCATTCTACCTATTGTTTTCTCTTTTCTTCCCTGTAATCTCTCCCCAATCCATGTTTTTTCGTAGCCTTCAAGATGGTCAGCAAGGCCAGCAGTCCACAGCCCAGGTCAAAGTCCAGTCCCGTCCCCCTTCTCAGGCTGCAGTGCTCAGTGCTAGTGCCTCCTTGCTGGTGAGAAATGGGAGTGTCCACTTAGAAGCATCACATGACAATGCCTCTGCTGTAGGCGGTAGCAGTTTGCAGGATGAACTTGGTATGCAGGCCTTATGTAATCTTCGTGGTACAGAACTTTAATGTAGCAGATAATGGGTAACAATGATTGTAATTCTTTCTTGAGGTAGCTTCATTTTGGAGCTGTGTGCAGGAGCATTGTTTATATAGGATTTGTCCTATGTATAAGGAAAATTTGACTTATACTTTTTTCTTTTTGTGTTTCTACCCTTCTTTTGAGCATGTCCATTATTAATGAGTGGCTAATATGTTAATAAATGTACATTTTAGTGTTCTCATAAAATGATTGGGGCAAGTCTGTTATTCGTAGGCATTTGTACCATGTGGAAAAATGTTGGTTTTTTTTTTTTTTTTAAGTTGCATTGACTCAACTTTTGTTTTTTTGAATTCCTTTAGGAAAGGAAAAGTGTTTTCTAATGGTTTCTTACTATAAAATCTTTTAGGTATTCTATATTTCGTATATGTCTAGTTGTGGTAGGATTTATTATAATTGTAAAGGCAGTATTCTGAGGACATAATGGCTCTGTGTTAATATCAAATAATAACTTTATAAAGTTTACTTTTTCTAGTGAATATATCTACAAATATATAAATTACTAAATAGTTAATTTTTAGAGATGTACTATAGTATAAACCCTCAGTAATAGTACATAGCCACTCAAATACCTGCTTTTGTGGATTATTTAAAGACTGGATTTTATACTATTTTGATTTCTGTATATGATCCAGCATTCTTGTGCTTGGAATGCACATTAATAATGATGTAAGTAAATATAATGAAGAAAATCTTGTTATTCAAAAATATTCATTTGAAAGCATTTACTTGATAGAATTTTGTCAATATCATAACTGCTTTTCACTTATAAAACTGACAATTCAGTTGAAGCTTTAATTGCAAGGCTATGCAGTGTTAAGTTGCCAAAATTAGGCTTAATAAAACTTTGTGAGCTATCTATTCATTGACTCTTTTTCCATTTTATAAAAATAAGTTACAGGGAGACATTATAAATGTGTGTATATATATATATATATATATATCACTTCTTGACCTTTTGGCTAAGATCAAGTGTAGTATAAATGTATATATATATAAATATATATACATTTACATACATATGCATGAAAATAATCATTGTCAGGTCTTACAGAAACTTGAAAATGGTCATCTAAAATATTTTTAACATTGGAATATATGGTGATGTTCATACATTTCAATGAGAAGACAGTAAAACATTTCAGTTTTAAATATAGAATGTTTTTGTCTTTGACTTTGTCATTTGGAGAGGAAGAAAGTCTCTAAGGAAAGTGCTGGCAAGGGAAAAGGTAGTTGTTTTGGATAGCTACTTATTTAAGTTGAAAATGGAATACTTTTTTAGTTGTAAATATAATCAGTTATGTAATAACATTAATACTTATTACCAGTTCACTCTGATGGACAAAGGTTTACAAATCTGAAATGTAAAGTTACAGGGTTTTTTTTTCATTGGTTTTATGGTAGTAGGTTGGCTGAAGTAAAATACTTCATTTTGATACATTTCAGATCTTTAGACTTTTATTAGATTAAGTAAAAAATAAAGTAGATGTTTTTCTCAATAAAAATTCTTAATTTACTTGAAAATTGACTAAACAAGCTTTCATTATAAGCCTCATTTTAAAGCCACATGTAGATTATTGGAAATAAATGTGTCTGACTTGTCTTACCATTCTGTAGATTAAAACCTTCTTGGGATTGGGGGTGTCCAGAACTAAAATATATTTGTGGCATGGTTTAATTTTCTGTGTAATTTTAATTAACAGTACAGTAGTAAGATAATTCTTGAGTACTGGATACTCAAATATGTTAGCCATGATGTTAGCCAGTTATAGAACATTTATAGAGGATTGCTTCCTTACAGATTTAGCTGCTTCTATAGAAAACTTGGAAGCATACACTTTATACATGTGGAAATATATATTATATATATTTGATTATATTACATACATATATATTATACATTTTATTATGTAAACCATATATATGTACATATACACACACACAGAGGCACTCAAATCTGTATTCAGCAAGCATAATTGTTTTACAGTTTCAGATGAAAAACTTGGGATGATTCACTATCTTGTAGACTTCATTCCCATGAAGTCTTTTAGTTTTAAAAAAAAAAAGCTCAAGTGATATGGTGATGGGTAAATTTTGAAGTTAACATTTTTGAAAAGGAAATTTCCGTCAGAATTTCTCAAGTCCTACCATGTAATATGTTTTACATCTTAAAGTTTAAGTTCATTCTGATGAGTCTTATCAGACTTGATTATTACAATATTTCATAATTTTTGTAAATTAAACTACAATAATGCTAAGTAAAACAGACTATGGTTCAGTGCCCAAATTAGGTCTATTTTATATTTGGTGAGCTGCTTCTATAAAACTTGGCAGTTACTTCCCATTTTTATGTTAATCTACCTTCCTCTTAATGAATACTAATAAATTGATGCAGTGATGAAACATGCCCCTATAGTTGATGTGCAACAGATCTCAAAGAAAATGTGCTAGATAAGATCAGATAACAGAATGAACAAATTGGCCTCTGTGTGTGTGTATGTGTGTGTGTGTGTGTGTGTGTGTGTGTGAGAGAGAGAGAGAGAGAAATCAGTGGTGGCAGTAGTAATGATATACTTTGAAAAGTATGTAAAATTTTAATTTTGTTTCTGTTTGAAAAATTTAAAAATTATTCTTACAACATAGACAAGAAATGAACACAAGAAAGTTTCATATTTATCAAGATATAAATATAAGATTAAATTTGGTTAATGTTTTATGGGTTTAAAAATTGACACTTGATTTTTCAGAGGGCTTTTTGTTTGCTTCACTACTATACAAGTATTGACAGAGAAGTTATTCTTTGAGATAGTCTGCTTTATTACAGAGTTTATTAACTTGAAAATGTAGTCAATTGTAGAAGACTGAAAGGAAACCTGGAAAAAGCCTGTTATCCTTTTTATTAAGCAGTTTATAGCAGCTGTGTGTTATTAAGCAGAAATGGGATTTGGAGGCTTGGAAGTGTTTTACTTTAAAAAGCAGAGACTCACGCAACCTATGATACTTTAGTAACTTTTATTAGAGTTAGTGTTGGTGTTTAGAAAATGCTGTACTACTTTGTGTATTTGAGCTGTATCATAAACATGTCTCGGTACTTTATTATAAATACAGAATCAGAGGACTGAATGGAACATCAGGGTTTATACTTTAGTTTCTTATGTTCTGATAGGTCATTTTCATTTATTTGAACAAAAAAAGTTGTATTCTTTTGCAACACCTTTGATCTTTTCTTTTTTTGCTTTGAGTATAAAAATACTAAATTCTGCTTTTGATCCTTTTGGGGAGGAAGGACCACGTATAACAGTATATAAATAAAGGTAAAGTGTTTATTTTATTGAAACAATAAAAATGCTTCATTTTATCTAGAAAGAAGTATTACAAGGTATAGGGGATATATTCTACTTTCACAACCTTTTGGTAGGATATGTTTTTCTCCAGCCTTGGAACAGAAATACAAGTTTACAAATACAGGGCAATATATTGAAGAAAATTAAGTCATCTGTAATCCAATCACTCAGAGGTATCCACTATTAATATTTTGTAATTTTTTTCTTCTAGTCTTTTTAAATGTACATATGTATATAATTTTCTAAAATAGAGTTGGGACTTATTGTGAGTTTTGTATCTTGCTTAATATGTCTGAACATTCATGCATGTTATAAACTATTTTCTCTTAAATGGCTGCATAAAACTTTGTCATTTAGATCTTTGAAAGGCAGTACAGTGTAGTGGATTCTAGAGCCAGACTCCTGGCTTCAAATCCAAGCTTTGCCACTTAACTAGCTATGTGACCTTGAGCAAGATATTTTCTCTTCCCATGCCTCAGTTTCCTTTTTTATTAAAGGGGCCCAATAATAATGTCTACTTTATAGGTTTGTGAAGGTTGTATATATTAAAATATGCAAAGCAGTTAGAACTGTGCACAGCAATAGTAAGTTTATTAGATAAAATGTTATTATTATAATATTGATAAAATATTACTATATCATGATTTATTTGACCAGTTAACTTAGTTTGTTGTTCACCTTTAAGATGTTTCCTTATATTTTCTATTGTAGTAAACACTGTGCTGAAAGTCCTTTATGAAAGGCTTTGTGTATTACTATGATTAATTCTTAGGATAAATATGTTGAAGTGAAATTCTCAGTTGATAAGAATAAAAATTATTAGAGCTTTGAGGTGCTACTGTTAATTGTTTTATGGAAAGCTTATAACAGTTTATCTTTTATCTAGCAGGGTTTGAGAGTGTCTGTTTTATCCCTACAAATATGAGTTAAAAATAAACTTAAGATAAATTTTATCTTCTCCAACCTTCATTCCCTAGATAATGCCCAGAAGTTTATCACCGTTACTGTGGAATGTCTGTAGAATATTATTTCAGTTTTGGATGCCTCAGTTGCTTTTGGAATTTTACAGAAGATAACAGGGACTAGTTGAGATGTCTAATTTGTCTCTTGCTAGTATGATGTAAAGAATTCATTGAACACTAGACTAGGTTATCTGCCCTCTAACATTAAACATTCTTAAAATTATTGAAGTCCATCAATACATGCATTACTTGCAATATAGTTTATATTATTTAATAGAGAGACCCCCAAAAAGTCAGTGGCTAAAATAAAAAAGCAGTTTATATTTCTGTCATAACTGTCTAATGGGAGCCATTCCTGGTGTTTGGTTTGCCTTTGTTATCTTCCACATGTGGCTTTCCTGCTTGGTCCAAAATAATTCAGTGATTGTTGAAATTTCCCAGTACGTGGTCAAGGTGGGTAGGAGTGTGTTAGTTGAGGACACCACCTTTACTTTGAGATTATGTGCCTTTCACTTTTTCCCAACTATCTTTGGCCTACACATGGTCACATGGCAATGTCCAGCTGGAAGAAGCTGACCTTTATCTAGGCAAACATAAGCTTAACTGAAATTTAGGCAAAGAA